GCTAGTCAGATTCCAGCCCCAAACACCCTACAGTGTGTGACCTATGGCCTTTGGGTTATAATCTATAATCTCTACTGGTCAGAAATCATTTGTATTTGCCAAAACCGGTTTGGCTCAGTGGATAGAGTGTCAGCCTACGGACTGAAAATTCCCAGATTCGATTCCGGTCAAAGGCATGTATAATACCTTAATTGCGGGCACATATCCAGCAGGGGGTGTGCAGGAGGCAGCTGATTGATGTTTCTAGCTCTCTGTCCTTCTCCCTTCCTCTCTGTGGAAAATCAATAAAATAATATACTTTTTAAAAAAGGAAATCACTTGTATCACTCTTGGATATCCGTTTTCTACAAATTAGCATCTTAGTTCTCAGATCTATAAAACGTCTGGGCCTGAATCCATCGGGAGCCATGACCTTCGGGGGTTTGTTTGATGATGCCCGCTGGGGACCACGGTTTAGACTTATCTGTGCTCAAGCAAGTGAGCTGAGACCCCGAAGGCTCCTGCAGCCTCCAGCCCCAGCACTGGTTAATTTTTCAGTAAGAGACCCAGACAGCTCAGGGCTGGAGGAAGCAGCAGCAGCAAAGAAGCAACAGATGGGTTTCCATGGTGACTGCCTCCGAGAGCCCTACGTGTCTTCTTTCTGAGCTGAGATGGAGGTGCGGCAGGAAGAACATGGGTGCGGGAGGGGGAAACCTGGTCCTGATCTACCCCGATGGCAGCTTAGTCACTCGCCCCGCTCTGGACTGAGGAGGGACAGAGGATGCCATTTGTTAGCTGCCTGCTCTGTGGCAGGCATTCTCCCATTTAACTCTTCCCCCAGCAAGCCTTTGAGAAAGAAGCTATTGTCAGCATTGTATAGATGAGGAAACAGAAGCACAGAGAGGTGGGGTAACCTGCCCAGGAACACACAGCTTGTGAAGAGCACCTGAGCTGTGTCCTTCAGAGCTGTCACGCCCTCTCAGAAAAGGAAGGGTGGTGGGGAAGCAGAATCGGGGTGCAAAGAGGGAACACTTCCGGTCAAGCACAGTGAAGGTAGCTTCCGTTTTCTGCCTGGGCACCTTGACCAGTACGATACCTGGCACCTCAGGCAGGAAGCAACTCCACGCTCAGGCGCCCTCAGACCACCCCACCCCCACCCTCGCCCGCTACCCGCCCCTGCCTGCTACCCGCCCCAGGCAGCATGACACCACCACAGCCATGAGCTCCGGGATGCCATCCAGAGCATCTCCTTATCTGCAAACCCTCTTAGAGGCTGCTTCACACCGCCCTGCAGGAGACAAACAAGCCTCCTGCCCCTCCCAGAAGCCTCCCTCCTCCTCCCCACATCCTCCTCTTCCTCCTCTTCCTCCTCCTCCTCACTGTTGTCCTCCTCTCTCCTGCCCTGTCCCATTCTCATCACCCCCAAGTGCTGGCTTCTGTCCCAGTGATCGGAGCCCCGGTGTGGGACAGGCACTCTGGTGGCTGTGACAGAGGCCTAGAACCCTGAGCAGAGCCCAGACATGTCTTTTTAGGACGAGCCCAGCTCAGTCCCGCCTGCCAGAACGCCCTGCCTTCTCTTTTTCATCCAAGTCCCAAGGCAAGTATGTGAATGGCAGCTCCAACACGCCCAGGCCTGAGAGCCTCCCCGGAAGGAGGAAGGCAGGAGAGGGCGTGTGTGGGCACTCAATGTGGGCGAGGGCCTGAGCCAGCCAGGGGGCCTGGAGCTGGAGCAGCTGTCCCACCGCCATCCTCTCAACAGCTGGCCTTGGCCTCCTAGCCCTCCCAACTCCGTCCGTCCATCCATCCATCCATCCATCCACTCATCCATCCACTCATCCATCCATCCACCCATCCATCCACTCATCCATCCATCCATTCATCCATCCATCCATCCATCCATTCATCCATCCATCCATCCATCCATCCACTCATCCATCCACTCATCCATCCATCCATCCACTCATCCATCCATCCATCCATCCATCCACTCATCCATCCATCCACCCATCCATCCACTCATCCATCCATCCATTCATCCATCCATCCATCCATCCATCCATCCACTCATCCATCCATCCATCCATCCACCCACTCATCCATCCATCTGTCCTCTCATTCAACAAGTTTTGGTTTGACATGCATTATGCTGGTACAGGGGATGAGAAGGATGAATTCCCAGCCTTAGAACCTGACTATCGATGTAAGAAATGTCCAAACCTGTAGAAAAAAATTTGAGTTTATTTGAATCAAACTGATGACAGTTACCTGGAAGCAAAAATTCAACAAATTGAGAACGTGCTCCAGAGAATGGCAGATTTGCATCTTATTTTGTACACCAGAATCGAGGGAGAAAATATAAGGAGAGCGACATGAAGTCCATGGGTGGTGGATGAAGGGGGCGGGAGAAAGCAAAGGGGGGCATCTCTGGGATTGGATAAAGCGTAAAAGGAAGAGACACATTGGTGGGTACAGGATGACTGATACTGTTTACAGCACTCGGAGATGGAAAGTGGGGAAGGGAGTGACAATGAGAGATTGAAGGTCTCGGCTCTGGTGCAGGAGTTATGCCCCGAGGGGCCTGGAAAAGGAGCTCACTCTGATATTTCAAAAAATGCAAAAAGGCAACAGACAGGCTCACGTAAGGTAGAGATGGACCTTTGTCAGGAAGTTACAGGCCTAAGATGTATCTACCACCATGACCTGCTATTGGTTAGGAACTTTAATGTTCAGACCATCCTCTAGGGTTACGTTCAGTCTCTGAGTTTGCAAGGCCCGCCACGCAAGCCTCCCCTGAGCTTGTCAGGGCTCACAGGTGGCTGCTTTTCAGTCCACATGACCTTTTCCCCAAATGGCCCCCCTTCCCTTCAAGTCTTCCCCATCTCAGTTGCTGGCACCTCCATGCTGCCTGGGGCTCAGGCCACCCCTCACATCCCACCCATCAACAATCCTGTCATTTTGCCCTGGCTCAAAACATATCCAGAATCCGACTACATCTCACCCCCGTCACTGTTCCCACGCAGGTGGCCGCAGGGATGGTCCTAAAAAACACATTGTTATCCTTCAGGTCTTAGGGGAGGTGTTACTGCCTCAGACGCCTCCTCTGGCCCCTTCGTCAGTAATTGCCTGGTCACTGGTCTCTCTTCCCCTGGGACAGGCCCTCGGTCACTGTCCCAGGGGACAGGAGCTGGAATGGTGCAGTGGCTAAGGGAACGGGCTGCCTGGGTGTGGATTCTGGCTAAGCTATGGGAATTTAGGCAAGTTACACAAAGCTCCCTGGGCCTCCGTTTCAGCATCTGTAAGATGGAATCATGATGGTATCTCCTTCGTGGCCCCCATAGGAAAGGATTAAGTGAAAAGACATAGTAATGTGAATGTTAGTAATATACTAACAGTGGTATATTCCCAGTGCCTGGCATAAAGTTTGGCCAATATTTACCAGCGGTACTCAGGAAGCATTGGCTGGCCGGATGGATGGATGTGTCTGGGTAGAGAGAGATGAAGCAATGGCAGGAGAACCCAGAGGAGGGCCCGAGCCCGGTCAGAGGAGAGTCAGGGAGGCTGCCTGTCGGGAGGGAGCTGATACCCAGTGAGCAAGTCTGTCAAACTCGCGGCCCGAGGGCCGAATGCCTCGTTTGTTTGGCCCATGTTAGCCTTTGCCTTTGACATGCTTGCTGTAGGGTGAGGAGTCAGTCCAGCACACAGAGGACAACATGCAGGCAGGAGCGGTAAGAGTGTGTGCAAGGGGCTCTCACCACAGACGGGGCCTGGCCCGTGCAGGGAACGTCGGCCCATCTCTCAGGGACTGACCCTGTCACGCAAAGAGGCCAGATTCCCTCTTGGCTGGCCATTTGGAAGACATTTTGGGGAGTCATGATAAGAAAAAAAAAAAAATCTGAGATGCTCTAAATTAAAATGACAGTGTCTGGGGAGTTAAAGAAACAGGACAGGCTGTAGCCGGTTTGGCTCAGTGAATAGAGCGTCGGTCTGCGGACTGAGGGGTCCCGGGTCCGATTCCGGACAAGGGCATGTACATTGGTTGTGGGCTGGTCGATGATTCTCTCTCATCGATGTTTCTAGCTATCTATCCCTCTCCCTTCCTCTCTGTGAAAAATCAATAAAATATATTTTAAAAAAGAAAAGAAAAGAAAAGAAAAGAAAAGAAAAGAGGACAGTTAGCCTGTCGGAGCTGACCATGGGCCAGCTCTGACCTGCTGCACTGATCTCAGAACTGGCCCTGCTTCCCCTTTTCCCCTTCCCTCTGTCTGTGGCTCCTGTAATGCTTCCAGAGGGCTCTTATCTACCTCCACCCTCTGCTCGATGCATCAAGAAGGCTTGCATCAAGAAGGGATGACGAACACGCTGGCTACCTACCCAGCCGTGCTTCTGGCGCTTTTAACTCCACGCCTTGAAGGGTTGGTGTGAGAATTCAGAGACACAGGGGCAGCTTGTGGCGAACCGAGGCGTGGCCCCTCCTGCTGGTTATTACTGGCAATCAAGGAAGCTGGTTTGGAAGGGGTTAAGGGGAGACCCTGCCTCCCAGCCAGGAACGAATCAAGGCTGGCAGGGGAGGAGCCAGGCTGCCACTGGGAGAGAAATCTAGACCGGCCAGATGTTGCCAGGAGAGGGAAGGGAGAAGACGCACAGGAAGGGCTAGGGGCCATGGGCACAGGGTCGCTGGCCTCGGCACGGGGATAACTCCCAGCCCGAGGGGGCAGGGTCAGCTTCTAGGGGCTGGAGGAGGAGGGGCTGAGCTGCCTGAGCCGGAGACAGCGGTCGGGTGGGAGGGGACCAGGACCAAGAGCCCTCCTGGCCCCCCAGTCGGGGAGCGCCGGCTGCACCCAGGCCTTGAACTCAGCTGACCCTGATAGCCCACATGGGGCACAGGGTCTAATTTTAGCTCAGCCACAGGGCCCGGAGCCCAGGAGTGCCGGTCAGCTGGCACAGGGGTGGCCAGGGCTGCTCCGGGACTGCTCAGGCGGCAGGGGCGGGTGGCGGGGGGGGGGGGGGGGAGGAGTGGGAGTGGGTGGGTTTGGGGAGACCAGCCCTGCACCCTGGCCAAGCTGCCTCTTGTGGGAGCCCTGACAGGTCCCCCATGGCCTGGCAGACAGTATTCCCATTGAGGGCCAGGTCAGGGGGTTCAGCCAGGCCAGCAGGGCACAGCCTGGCAGTCTGGACAGAGGTTGCATCAGCCTGAATAGTGCTTGGGGGCAGGGGACCCTGCTGGGAGGGCAGAGGCTGGCTCGCTTGTCCAAAGACCCAGGAAGCAAAGTCCGGACCACAGGAACGCAAGGCCAGAAGGCTGGGCCCTTCCTGGCCTCCCGGCGCCTGGGTGGTGACCTGCTGTTTGACCCGCACAGGCAGCCTGCTCTCAATGAGCCTCAGTCTTCCCATCTGTACAATGGGGGCGCTGAACTAGGCTGGTCCCAGCTCCAGCAGCCCACCCTCAGGCCCCCCGCGCCTCCTGCTTCCCCAGCCCCGGCTGTGGGCGGCCACATGCAGTCCTGGAGAAGGAAGTCCCTTTGGCTGGCTCTGCTGGCCTCCTGGCTCCTCGGCCTCCTGGGGATCTTTCCCCTCCTCCGCCTGGCAGTGCCCACCGGACCTCGGGCAGGGGCCCCCCGAGGCTGGCCCCGCTGGCTGGATGCAGAGCTCCTGCAGAGCTCCTTCCAGCCCGGGGAGCCCCCAGAAGATGCCCCTCCACCTCCTCCGGCCCCCCGCGGCGGCAGCTGCGACTGGGGAGCTTGCTTTGACACCTCCAAGTGCCGGAGCGGTGGCTTCAAGGTGTTCGTGTACCCAGCGGCCGGACCGCCCTCTGAGACTCAGCACAAGATCCTGGCTTCCCTCGAGGGGTCCCGCTACCACACCGTCAGCCCCACCGAGGCCTGCCTCCACCTCCTCAGCCTGGACGCCCCGGCCGGAGCGTGCGGCCCGCTGCCCCCGGAATGGAACCGGGGCAAGAACCACCTGGTCCTGCGGCTGCACCCGGCCTCCTGCTCTGGGACCTTCCCGCGCGGACAGGCGATGGTGGCCGAGGCCAGCCCCGCGGGGGACGCCTTCCGGCCCGGCTTCGACGTGGCCCTCCCGCCGCTCCCCGAAGCCCACCCGGTTCGCGGTGGAGCTCCCGGCCGGCTGCGCCAGCACAGCCCCCACCCCGGGGAGGCGCTGCTGGCCCTGGCGGAGGAGGGGGGCGGGTGGCGCATGGCAGGTGCTGACTCCTCTGCCTGCCCCCGGTCTGGACACTGCGAGCGGGACGGTGGACCGGAGCCGTGAGTGGACCTTTCCCTTCGGGGGCTGGAGGGGAGGGACCTGTGATGGGAGTGAGCCCAGAGGACAGGGAGAGGGCAGGCTGGAGGTGGGAGAAGCAGCCGCAGCAGGGGCAGTCAGGGTGGGCGGCAGAGGCCACCACCACCACCTCGGCGATTTGCTGCAGGAGGCGGCCAAGGCAGGTTTCGGAGTCTCCCTCGGGGATCCTTCAAAACAAAGAACACGCCTCACTCTTACTCTTCTTACCTTATTCCAATTTAAAATTTTATTTGACATAGCACTCCTATAGCGTGTGCTCTGTGCTAAGCACTTCCATAAATCATGACTCTCATGAGCTAAGACTAGTTGCTATCACTGTCCGTGTCCCCGCCACTGAAGCTCAGAGAGGTCAAGTAGTTTGTGGGAGGCCGCCCAGCCGGAAAGAGAACAGCCAGTATTTTAATTCAGCGTTGCCTGCATTAGAATTCGGAGCTTTAAGGAAGAGTTTATGATCAACCCTGTCAAAAGCCTCAGAGCCGGGGAGATTACTCACAGATGGAAGCTGCTCTTATGTCCAGTTTGGGGGATTAGCCTTTGGTTACATAAAACATGTGAACTAGGCTAGACTTACAGAATTTCCTGCTAGTGAGAGTCCCAATACATATAAGGAGCACCAGAGCCTAAGGGCCATGGAGAGCTCTTAGAAACTTCTCTCTACCTGGGCTATTAGGGGTGACAATCCTTAGGTGATAGACCAATTACCCCCTAAGCACCCTAACCTCTCTGCACCCCCAGGAGGCCAGCACTATCCAAAGGCTGGCTGGGCAGGCAAGAATGTTTTCATGTATAACACTAGGGGTTCAGTGCATGAATTCGTGCACCTTGGAAGGAACTGTGGGCCATGAGCCTGTGGTGGGCTCAGGAGCGGGTCTCAGCCCATCCTCTGCGCCCCTGCCTGGCCCCTCCCACTGTGGCCCCAGTCCCCTGTCTGCTGGCAGCCTCCGCCCCCGCTGCTGCCACCCCGATGATGCCAGTTCTGCTGGGGCAGAGCAATTGGGGCTGGTACCGGTGGCAGGTGCCAGCACCAGGCAGGACCGTGGCCCAGGGTGACCAGCACACATCACAGTGGCCGGTTGTCTGATTGTTCTGTTGTTCTGCCGTTCGGTCTATCTGCATATTAGCCTTTTATTATTCGGGATGAATATGCTCATTTTTATATCAATCCTGAAGTTGTCCAGGGTCCCCAAAGCAGAGAACGCCCTCTCCCTCTCCCAGGCACCTCCCTGTCCTCTCCTGGAGCAGCATGCGCTATTCTGAGCTCCACTTCCCTCCCAGGAATCATTCACCTGCCCACACTCCATCTCCGCCCCCGCCTGGGGCTTTTGGGGCTTCTCTCCGCCAAAGGGCATGTGTGGGAATGAGTCCCTCTGCCTCCCTTAGGGAGCACCCCAACGCCGCCAGGGAAAGGACAGAATTTCCCGCATCCTTTCTGCCAGGAGCCACCCCCGCAGCTACCCGAAAAGCCAGATCCCCCAGGTACCTCAGGCCCAGGTGTCACCTTTGGTGACAAGGTTCCTCCATCGCCGTACCCCACGCCCTTTTCTGACCCGGCTCTTAGCTGCTCTTGCTTATAGAACGTTCTTTCAGCCGACTGTAGTTGCTGCTGAATGCAATTGGTTATTGGTGAATCTGAAAGCTATTGCAGCCTCAACTTCTTTGAGAAACTGAAAGTTAGGGAACTGCACAGGGTAGGTAAGGGCGCACTAAACGTTTACTGATTGACCCAAAACTGGCCAGAACTGGCCAACGTTTTCTAATCAGCTTTCTGACCCTCTGAATAGCATGTTTGATAAGCTTAGTTCCAAGGTAGGATGCCTGGCAGGCTCGAATACTGTCCTCTGAATGTAGGCAGCAGGAGTTCTAATCTCTGGGGTAGTTTGAGCCTCAGTTTCCCTGAAGTGCCAGGTAGCTCCCTACTGGAGCCGGACAGTATAGGGACAGAGTCACAGAGAGAGGCCTACAGCCGTGGGGTCAGCCCCTGGAAGGCAGCCTGAGTAAACAATGCCGAGAGAAAGAGGCGACTCACAGTCCCTGCCACGGCCCACTTTCGCTCCTCTGGCAGGAGCGAGGAGGAGGGGAGAAGCGAGTATCTGGGGAAAGCTCGCTCTGGGCTTGGTGCTGTGGGTAAGTCCTGCCCAGCCCTCTGATGCACCCTCAGGGGCGGTATTCGTATCCCTGTGCCCAGGAACAGGAACCTGAGGCTCAGAGAGCTGGAGGGAGCCAGCCCAGGGCCTTTGGTGACAAGCCCCCTGGTTCACCACGGCCTCCCTCACGTGTCTGACCAGGCGCTGGCCCCGGGGTGAGACCCTGCGCTCCGGCTCCAAAGCCCGTGTCTTTCCACCTTTGCTGAACAGACGCCTGCTGCTTTGGAACAAGCCTCCACCCACTGAAGTTGTTACGTGTTTGTATGAATGGGGAATTCATTCCCGCGGCACACATTCCGAAGGCACAAAGGGGCATGCAGTCAGAACGCCCTCCCACCCGTCTCTGGCCACCCCGCGTTCCTCCCGGGAACCAGACCCCGCTGCTTCTGGTGTGCTTTCTGAGGGGCTCTGTGTGGGTACAAGCAACATGTGTGCACGCTCTCCCTGGTCTTTACTTATTTATCTACAACTTCAATGCAGAGTTTAAAGTCCCCTGGCCCATCTCTGCTGGGCCCAGGGGGTGCAGTGCCCAGGGCCCATGATAGTTATGGGAGCCTGTGAAATTATCTTCATTTTTTCCCCAAAAAAATCAGGAGGAAAAAATGAACTTTTAGGTAGAAGAAAATATTTTCATTTATAATATGAATATGTTCATTTTTATATCAGCACAGTTATCAAATATATTTTTTTAATAATTTTTCACGGCAAAGGGGCCATGAAAAGTGCCTGGCGTCTGAAAGTAGGTAGAGCCACATTGACGCCAGCCTCGGGCACTACAGCCCTGAGACCGTGGCAAACACTTACCTGGTCACTGAACCCTAAGGCTTAATTGGCAGATACCACGATGACCCTTCCATCTCTCTCTCTCTCTCTCTCTCTCTCTCTTTCATCTAGTCTCTGCTTGTTTACCTCCACTGATGAGGAACTCACCACCTCCCAGGGCCACCCACTACTGGCTACTTACAACCAGCTCTGTTACTAGAATTTGTGCTGAAGCTCACTTTTCAGGCATTGGATCCATCTGTCCTGGGTCTAGCCTCCAGGCACACAGGGAATTCATTCACTGAGCACCTACTGAGTGCCCGCTCTCTGCCAGGCACTCTGCCAGGCCCCGGAGATACTGAGATGCGGGAGGCACAGCCCCGTCCTCATGTAGCTCGGCCTCGTAGGAGAGACAGACAGGTCCCTGGTGATGACTCTTTGTTATGCAGAGATAAGCTGTGCAAGCTGCCTGCCTGGCTGCTGTGCTTCAGAGCTATGTGACCTCTGCGGGCCTCCGTTTGCTCACCTGTAAAATGGGATACTAACATCACACACCTACCATCTCATAGGGTTGCTGTGAGAGTGAACTGAGATAATGAACGTAGAGCACAAAGTAAGTGCTCAATAAAGGCTAGTTGGCTTCTTACCACTCCAGGGCACACAGGCGGTGAGGCAGAGAGAGGGGCGCCATCTCTAGAGAAATCAGGGAGGCTTCCTGGAAGAGGTGATGTGTGATATCAAGATCAAGTAGGATTCCTTGGGCTGCAGGGCAATGGAGGGGTGCTGCAGGCTGAGGGAGGAGGACACACAGAGAGGGAACTGCCGAGGCCAATGAGGACTGAGGGGTGTAGCTCATTCAGCTCTTTGTTGCTGGGTTCTCTGAAGCCTCAACCTTAGGCGCTTGCAATCCCTTAGGCCAGGGGGTGGGGGGTGGCCGTAGCTGTCTGGTGCTGCCCCTTGTAACGAGGTAGAGGGTGTTCTGTTGTTGAACTTGTGGCTTCTTCCAGGGAAAAAGCACTGGAGGAAGAGGGCTGGGTCCCTGGGAGCCCCCAGCAGCAGCTCTGAGTCGTTCAAACCACCGGGGCCCAGAGTTAGCTCCTTGACTCTAGTTCCAGCTCTGCCCGGCTCTCGCTGAGACCCTGAGCTCCTCTGAGTCTGAGACTCAGTCTTCCCCTCGGAAAGACTCCCGGGACTGCTTCCTGAAGGTTCAGACTCAGGACCTGATAGGCTGGAGCTGAGGAGGATCCCGGGACCCTCTGGGCCCCATCCATCTGTCCACACTCAGGCCTGTGCACCCGAGTCCTGCCCGCCCACCGCCCCTTCCCTCCCAGCAGCGAGGTCATGGGCACTTCTCTGGGTGGGCTGTGGCCGCCCTGCCCCTCAGGCACACGGCCTGAGTGAGGCCCTGGAGCGGGGGGAGGAGGCGGAGGAACAGAGGCGGCCTGTCCTCTGGGCGAGGGGCCCCTGGCAGCGGCTTCCTGTGTGGTTCCAGGCGGGGGCCCAGCCCGCCTTGTGACAGAGGAGCCTTTCACGGGCCTGGCTCTCGGGAGGGGGAGCGGGGGGAGTGGAAGCCACTCAGGTGTCGGCGGCCGGAGACTCTGCGTGTGGCAGAGCCGTGGGAGGGCTGACACGTGTATGTCCACACCAGGCTGGGCCTTGGAAAGTCAGGTCCCACTGCCTCCCACTTTCTAATGAGGAGACTGAGGCCCAGAGGAGAGAAGGGAGGTGACTGAGACAGCAGGGCCAGACGGGGAGCTAGAGGCCTGGGCCTGAGGTGTGGGTGAGGCCGAGTGTGCCCCTGGCGCTTGTGCATCGTGTGTCCTGAGTGTTTGCCAGCACCTGAGAGCACGATGGCGCGTTTGTGCGTGGGGAGTGTGGGCGTGTTGGTGTGGGGCTGGGAGTCACGGCGGGAGCCCAGTGGGGGAAGGCAGTGTCTCAGGCCTCCTGTGCCTCCTCAGGACCCACCCTGGGGCAGCGCTGCCCAACGCCACCTTCTGCCTCATCCCAGGCCGCCGTCCTGATGCCCTGCGCTTCCTCCAAGCCCTGCAGGTACAACCCCAACTGGAGCATTCCCCGTCCCTGTCTCCCCCACCCCCCTCCTGTGCGGCCAGGTTCTCTGGGCCCTGGTAGGAGCTGCTCTTTGCTCTGGGACTCAGGTGCACCTGTGTCCATAGTCGTCTCACCCTCTGCACAGCACCCACACTTTTCTCCTCTTTGCCCCCCAAAACACGTCTCTCCTCTTTGCTTCTCGCCCCCAGTAGCAGCAGCTGCTGACTTGGACCTGGGAGGTGGGTGAGTGTGCAGGGTGGGGCGGGGCCCGCCAGTGACACCCCTGCCCCCCAGGCCGGCTGTATCCCTGTGCTCCTCAGCCCTCGCTGGGAGCTGCCCTTCGCAGAGGTCATCGACTGGACCAAGGCTGCCATCGTGGCAGACGAGAGGCTCCCGCTGCAGGTAGCTGAGGGCCCTGCCCATGGGGTGGGGGCTGAACCTGGGCATGGGAGGGACCCCAGGATGCCAGCGCCCGGCTAGCCTCAGGCCCCCTCTAATGTAGTATACTGAGGATCCCTCCCCCCGCCCCCTCCCCCCACCAAGCCTCTGGGATTCCATAACCCGAAGGAGGCAGAGTTCTGAGGGTTCTGAGAGCAGGTCCTGAGCCTCTCCCAGCCTCAGTTTCCCCATATGCACAATGGGATACGTTAGACCAGGTGATTTCCTTGGGCTCAGCCCCACTGGTCCATGGCTACTTAAATACCCAATGTAAGGGAAGACCACATGTACACACACACACACACACACACACACACACCAGAATTGGAGTGCCTCCACATGGCTATGAGTGACAAAGGAAAAGACACAGTGACTTTTCCATCTGATGAAACTAATTGTGCCCAGCTCTGGAAAATGTGTGTGAGCCTTGAATCTGCCGAGAAGTGAGGATGGTGTAGACTCAGGCAGGCGTCTTCAAACTACGGCCCGCGGGCCACATGTGGCCCGCAGAGGAGTCTGATCCGGCCCGCCAGGTTTTTTGGGCAGTGAGCGCAGCCGAGGTGTTACAGTAGGAATTAGTAGTTCATATAGTCCGGCCCTCCAGCTCTCTGAGGGACCGTGATCTGGCCCCCACTTTAAAAAGTTTGAGGACCCCTGGTAGAGAGTTAATAACATCCACTATTCATTGAGCTGCCACATGGTGCTGAGCACTTCATTTGTGCTGATGTAATCCTCACAACCACCCCGAGGCAGGTTCAAAGGTTTTCCCCACTTTATAGGTGAGGAACTAAACTCCGAGAGCTTAAGTAACGTGTCCCCGTCAGTTACTAAATGGCATTTACACTCAGCTCTCCGTGACCCGGGAACTCCGTCTGCTGTGCCCTGGGACTTGACCACGGTGGCTGCGGCTAACGGGAGACCCTCGGAGAGAGGGCTTCCGGTTCCCAGACCTGCAGCCCAGGTTGTCCCCACCCGAGGGCCAGTCAGGGCTGACGAGGCCGCATGCCTGCCCCTTCGCTCCCTCCGGGGCCCAGGCCGTGGCCGCCCTCCAGGAGATGCCCCCCACGCGGGTCCTCGCCCTGCGCCAGCAGACCCAGTTCCTGTGGGACACCTACTTCTCCTCCGTGGACAAGGTCATCCGGACCACTCTCGAGGTAAGGGGGACTCCGCGCCCCTCTCCCGGCCCCTCCTCTGCCTTGTCTGGGCTTCCCCCTGAAAGACGCTCCTGGGCTGAGGCCGAGCCTGGAGCTCTTGGATACCTTCCTTCCCCAATGCTGGCCTCAGTTTCCCCATCTGCACAGGGACGGCTGTGCAGGCACCAACTCCAGCCGACAGGTCCTGGCTGCGGGGGCTGTGCTGGGAGGGGTTCTGGGGCTGGAGAGGATGTCATGAGCTGGTAGTGATGTCAGTCACGAGTGAGGAAGGAGAGGGGGGCAAGCTCGCCAACATCTGCCAACTGTGGGCACCATCCCCGAGTGCCCCCCACTCCGGACTTCCGCCTCTGAACCCTTCTGTCCCCAGAGATCAGGTGATGCAACTGCCACCCCCCCACCCCGTCAGCCATAAGGGGGAGGAGAGGGAAGGCAGGCCTCACTCCCTCAGACCCGCCCTCCCTCTGCAGAGCCTGCGTTCCTTTTGCAGATTATTCAGGACCGGATCCTTGGAGTGTCCGCTCGCCCGTTGCTGATGTGGAACAGCCCGCCGGGGGCACTCCTGGCCCTGCCCACGTTCTCCACAAGCCCCTCACACTTCCCCTTCTATCACCTCCAGCGGGGTATGTCCTCATCAGCTCCCCCCAAGTTCCTCCCGGTCTCATCCGCAGAGCCCCCTCAAGTCCCCAGCACATCCCGGCTCCCAGGGTCCCCTCCCACCCTAACAGCCTGTATCCTCCCCCCAGGCTCTCGCCCTGCAGGCAGGTTCAGCGCCCTCATCCGGGTGGGGGCCACAGGCCAGCCCCCCCTGAAGCTCATCCGGGCAGTGGCAGGCTCCCATCACTGTGCCCAGGTCTGCCCCCTTCCAGCCGGGGTCCTGGGATCCAGGGTGGGGGGAAAGGGCAGGCCCTTGAGGATACCTAGACCCCAAAGATATCCACCATTTGGGGGAGAGGAGGCACGGGAGGACTTCTTCAAGTGCCCTGGCTGCCTTTTCCTGTAAGTCCCACGTTTCTATTTTTTTTTTTTTTAATGTTTTTATTGACTTTTAGAGAGAGAGGAAAGGAGGGAGAGACAGAAACATCAATGATGAGAGAGAATCATCGATCAATGGACTGCCTCCTGCACCCCCACTCCCTTACTGGGGATCGAGCTCACAACCCAGGCATGCACCCTGACAGGGAATTGAACTGTCAAGGTCCATGGTCGATGCTCAACCACTGAGCCACACCAGGCAAGTCCCAGGTCCCTTACACTGTCCCCCACCCTCTTTTCTACCTCCCCATGGAAACTGAAGACTTGATCTGGAAAGAGGTGCCTCTTGAGGCATGGACCTGTGTCCACTCAGTTATTCGCCCACTGAGCAGTCCCTTTCTGAGCACAGGCCCTGGGCATGGTGCTGAGGATACAGAGAGAAAGCAGGCAAGGTTCTGCCCCGCAGTTGATTCGCTTGGTGTTTCCTAGGACACAGACTGTCAAATGTCCCCTCCAGAGAAGCAGATAAACCCCCGAGGGTCCTTGCAGAGCAGGGAAGCACTGAGCTCAGCCAGGGCACAGATGGAGTGGCAGCAAAACGCAACACCTGGGCTGGGAATGCTAATGGAGCAGGAGAATGAACTCTTTGAGAAGATGGGGGTGGGGCCTGGGGTCAGGACCCAGTTCTATCAATAAAGCTACCTTCACATCACTGGACCTTCTGCCCTCCAGAAGCCCAGAGGCAGAACTGGGCAGTAATGAAAAGACTGTGGCTCCAGCCAAGCTCTTCCCAAACTCACCTACACAGCTGCTCACCCGTATTTCTTGAGAAAGATGGCTCCTGGGACCTTACTGCCCTGGATTCAGTAGCACCCCCTTTCCCCTAGATCTTGGTTCTCTGGAGCAATGACAAGCCACCCCCATCCAGCTGGCCTGAGACAGCAGTGCCCCTGACAGTCATGGAGGGGCACAGGAAGGTAAAGGGCGGGAGGGGCGTGGGAGAGGTGGGAACTGGGGGAGGCGATTACGTGGGCCTGAGCCAGAGCGGGTCCTTCTGTTGGGCCTGAAGAAATCAGGAGGACCTAGCAGGTGTGATTCCCTCCCATCCCTGGCCCCTGTGGATTGTGCTTCCAGAGAACGGGGTTTTAGGAGTTGGGGTATGTTGATGTTTCAGATGGAGGGATGGAGGAGAAGCCCGAGATGCTGAGGAAACAGCCGGATGGCAGCACATGGGCCGGGAGCGGGGGTGGGGGGTGGGGGGTGGTGGGGGGTCTTCTGTGAACCTGGTATGGAATGAGTCACCTGCTTGCCCTGTGGTTCTGGGCAAGTCCCTTCCTCTCTGGACCGGTTTCTTTCCAACAAAGGATGCCTGACAACCCCCTCTAGAGCTGAGATCGGCGTCCAATGGGACAAGGGAGGAATCCTGAGATGTCCAAACTGAAAGGGCCCCTAAGTACCAACTGCCCCCAAAGAGGACACTGAGCTCCAGAGAGGTGAAAGGAGTCTCGGGTCCGAGAGCTGTTTCCACTGCCCGTCCTTCACCCCACACCGCCCTCCCCTGCAGGCCAGTGACCGCTTCCTCCCGTTCCGTGCCATCAGCACCGACGCCATCCTCAGCCTCGATGCCCACAGCAGTCTTTCCACCAGTGAGGTGAGGGCTGGGCCCCAGAGGGCCCCGGCGGCTCCTCGGATGCCCTGGGCAGGGAGGGCCAGGTGTCAAGAGTCCACCTTTCGCCTTTGAAACCACCCAGCAAGCCTCTCAGCCTCTGCCTTTGGAATCGAAGAGCTTTCTAATGACTCTTTCAAAAACATTATTTTCAGCTCCTACCAGCTGAAAAAGTTCCCCTACACATTCCCCCCCCCACCTCCCACCCCCCACTTGGCCTGGTCAGCCAGGCTGGCTTTGCCTCCGTGTCTCTGGATGCTCCTCCTCACTCCTCACTCACGTATCTCCCAGGTGGACTTTGCTTTCGGGGTGTGGCAGAGCTTCCCGGAGCGGATGGTGGGCTTTCAGACATGGAGCCACTTCTGGGATGAGGCCCAGGGCGGCTGGGGCTATACTGCTGAGAGGGTCAACGACTTCTCCATGGTCCTCACCTCGGCAGCCTTCTACCACAGGTACAGGAGGCCTGGCGCCGGGATCGGAGGCTCTTTCAGCCAGGAGCAGGGAGCATGGAGGGAGCACAGCAGTCAGCCCAGAGCCCAGAGATCCAGGTTCAAGGCCCAGATCTGCCATGTCCCAGCTGTGAGATGGGCGGGTCTCCTCACATGTCTCTCTTTTTAAAAAATACATTTTTATTAATTTCAGAGAGGAAGGGAGAGGGAGATAGAAACATCAATGATGAGAGAGCATCACTGATCGCCTGCCTCCTGCACGTTCCCCTTTGGGGATCGAGTTCAAAACCCAGGCACATGCCCTCGACTGGCATTAAACCCAGGACCCTTCAGTCTGCAGGCCAGTGCTCTATCTGCTGAGCCAACCCGGCCAGGATATCCTCACTTCTCTTGAGGTTCAGCTTCCTCATCCCTATAATGTGTTCACCTCACAGGGCTGCTGTGATAATCAAACGATCAAAAAAATTTTAATCAATTTTTTTTAAAGTGTGTGTGATGAGCTGGGGAGCTGCCCTAGCACCCCAGTCTTGGGCAGGGACTGAATCCTGAAGAACTTCTTTAGAGGAGTTCCTGACACATGTGTTCTCAGTGAGTGAAGAACACTCATGTCTGCAGGGCCGTGGGAGGGCTCATCTCAGTTAATCCACATCCTTCTAGAATAGGGGTGTCGAACTCAATCAGAGAAGGGGCCAAAATCTAAAATCCAGCCTAAATCGCAGGCCGAATGGTTTATTGAACAGTCATAAACTGTCATTGTGATGGAAACACAGCGGAGTGCAGTGATGACAGCGCGGTGCGGGCCACATTGCAAGGCCTGGTGGGACGGATTTGGCCCGCGGGCCTTGTGTTTGACACATGTGTTCTAGAAGCTGGCTCTGGGCTGCCCTGTTTGATGGCCTTGGAATTAGCTGATCCTCCCTCCCCCACACTCCCACCCCCAGTTTGGCTGAGTTCATTCCTGGGGCGGGGGCCCAGGGACTGGGAGGGAGGAAGCAGGAGCTACATGCACCATTGGCTTCAGACCAGCCGCCGAGCACAGGACAGGAGAGGGCTGCTGGTACTCCCTCTGAAGTGGCCGGGCTCAGAGAGGGAGCGGGGTGTTAGCCAGAGGCTTCAGAGGCTTGGAGAAGGGGGTCCAAGGGGCAGTGAGGTCAGGCCTGGGAAAACAGAATGGGGGCGGTGGACTCGGCCTCAGCCTCTGCCTGCCTCCCCCCTCGCCCAGGTATTACCACACCCTGTTCACCCACTCCCTGCCCGCGGCCCTGAGGAGCCGGGCCGAGGCCGCCCCGGGCTGCGCGGACGTCCTGATGAACTTCCTGGTGGCAGCGGCCACCAAGCTGCCCCCCATCAAGGTGCCCTGCGGGAGGCGGCCCGCGGAGGCCGGGCCACCGCAGGTGAGGCGGAGGGCTGGTGGGCCCCGGGAGGAGCCGGGAGGGAGGGTTCCCTGGGCGGTCAGCACCAGGCCCTCCTGTGGCGGGTGCGGGGAGAGGCTGGTCCCGGAGGACAGAAACCTCGGACGCATTTCCCTCCCCATCCTAGGCGCCCGGGGGCCTGGGGCCCGCGCCGCAGCCCGCAGCCCGGGACTGCATCGACCAGCTGGCGGCGGGGTTCGGCCACATGCCCCTGGTGTCCTCTCGCCTCCGCCTGGACCCGGTGCTCTTCAAGGACCCGGTGTCCGTGCTGCGCAAGAAGTACCGGAGCCTGGAGAAGCCCTAAGGGGGACCCCGGGGGCCCCTATCGGAGCCGGGAGAAGCCCTAGCAGGCCTCGCGGGGTCCCTGCCTCACTGCCCGCAGCGCGGAGTCTGCTCGGAGCCGGAGGCTCGGCTCAGGTGTCCCCGCCCCCGAGACACCAGGTACCCAATCAGAGCTCCCAGTGGCCAATACGTCAGGCCCCTATTGGCCTATCATAGAGCCGGGGGCGGGACTCCAGCCCGGCAGCCAGCTTCTGTTTTCAGATGCGAGGCGACATCTATCCTGTTTCCGTGCCTTTGCCCCGCGGACTCCTCCGCTGAGCTGGCGTCTCCAATCCTCGCCTCCCCCGGGGTTTGCCCGACCCCCAGCCCCTCTCGGGATCGGTTGGTCTCCTCTGCGCGTTCACAGCCCCGTGTGCCCGCAGTCCCGGCACTGTGGCCGCGTCCACCGCCGGCCCCCGGACGGTCTGGACACCCCGGGGCGTGTCCTCCTCTCTCTGGCCTTGCAGGTAGCGCTGCGGATATTGGACGAAAAGACCATTGGAAGAGACATCCTTTGCGCACCTGCCCTGGGAGGACGGTGCCGGGAGGGTGGACAGGATGTGCCGAGGGAGAAGACCAACCTCCGTCCCCATCCCTGTGGTTCCTAGTCCGGCGGGGAGGCAACTCTCCGCAGACGCCGGGGTTGTCAGGCGCCATCCTCGCGTCCCAGCGATGAAGCAAAGAGGCACCGGGAAGCCAGTTTCTGCGCTGCTTTCCCTACCGGGCGGAGCGAATGGGGAGGGGAGAAAAGAGATGAGAACGCAGGCGATCCGCCCCGGCGGGCCCGGGACTCTCGGCGCGAGCTCGGTCGTCGCCCTGCATTACCAGGCAGGACCGCTAGAGGGCAGCGCCGCCCCGCGCTCCCTCCTCCGGGACCGGGAATGCAGTTCTCAGCTCCCTCCGGTCGGAGAGCGAGCCTGGGCGCTAGGAGGCTTGGAGGTGTGCAGCCTGAAGTCTGCAAAACCAGGAAGAGGGGACTAACTGAAGGAGGAGGCCACGCCTTAGCCCACACTAAGCAGGGCCGTCTGGAGTGGGCTAGGTGGGAGCAGAAACTGGAGTGCCTGTAGGTGAAAGTGCAGCGGGGGAGGGGACGCTGAGCTCTCCCGGGTTCATCCACCTGGAACAGGAATTATCGCTTCCGAAATACAGCGCCTGTCCGTGCCCCCTCGAGCTGAGGCTATAAATATTCCTACAGCAGCTGCACGAGGGAGGAGCCTGCGAGGGGGACGGCTCTAGACGGGTAGGGGCCATGGGTCCAGCCCAGGTCCAGGGTGTCAGGTGTTTTTCTGCTTTGATGGCCTCGCCGCTGTGGAAACTCCCGTGACCAGCTCGCGGGCCAGAACACGCCGTCCCCCGGGGCCTCTCCAAGGCTTCCCATCCCCAGCCTCCAGCCTGACCTCTGCTCCCTGGGGCCAGTCACAGCTGGGGTGCTGAGAAGGCTCTCCCTTGGAAGATTCTTGAGGTGGAGGGGGGACTGGGAGGGAGGCAGCCTGGCCCAGGACCAAGAGCAGCTGAGAGTGGGTGAGGGAGCACACAGCTGCAGCCCAGGCCGCCTTCCCAGGGTGGAGGGCTCCGAGTGCCAGGCAGGCCAGGGAAAGAGTCACCTTTCTCCACCCCGATCACAGCTGCAGCAACCAAAACCCTAAGCTGCCTTGGCACAGCCTTGCCCGTGGGAGGGCATGCAAGGCCCAAGGACTCACACTGTAACAACACGCAGCTCTGAGCGGGCCCCCAGCCCCCGCGGTGGGGGGAGGCCCAGGGGAACGAGGCAGAAACCCCAGACCTGCCTCACCCTGGCTGTGTGACTTAAGGCAAGTGACACAACCTCTCTGTTTTCTCCTCTGCAAACATGAAGAATTCTGCCCAGACACCGTGGCTCAGTGGTTGAGTGTTGACCAATGAACCAGGAGGTCTCGGTTCATGCCCCGTCAGGACACATGCCCAGGCTGTGGGTCTGATCCCCCGTGTGGGGTGTGCAACCATTGATGTTTCTATCTCTCCCTCTGAAATCAATAAGAAACTTTTTAAAAATAAAAAATGGAGCATCGCAATGACTGTCTTGAGAGGGGCCCAGGTTCCTGGCGCTGCTGGGGCTGAGAGGGAAGGGAGTCTAGATTCCCCAGAGGGCAGTGTGGAGTGGAGCACGGCCATCAGTAGTCCTCCCACCCCACCCCACCCCCACCCCCCAACTCAGTGACTCCCCGCTGATCTTGAGGGCAGAACCCACTGGCCTAGGTCACAGGCAGCCCTGGGTGCCAGTGCTGGAAAGGCACAAAGATGTCATTTCACAGGTGAGAAGAGGCTCAGAGGGCTGGGGAGTGACACCCCTCCCCACCCATCCCCCTCACACACACCCTCCTGCCAGGGTCAGGACAGAGTCAAACTCAGTGCGGCCCCGGGGAGGCTGGGAAGTAGGTGTTCACGTTCTCAGAGAATGAGAGGCACAGCCAGGCCGACTTGCCGGAGGACAGGGCGCTTGCTGGCTATGGCAGGCGGACCACCAGACCGGGCATGCAGCCTTCTGAGAGCCTGGGGACAGGTCTCCCCTTCATCTTATACACAAGCCACCCCGATTCAGGAACCTTCACAACCTCCGGGAAGCCACCCTCCTGTCCTGTCCCAATGGTACGGCCGCTCTGTCCTCCATCCCCGAGTTCAGAGGGTCATGTCAGAGAGGAAGCAGCTGGCCCAAGGCCACTACCAGGCTGGGAAGCGGCCCAGGAGCTGTGAGGGTAGGGCAGGACCCAGGGTGACATTCCTGTCTCTCCCCCCCCCTCCCCCACCATGGCCAGGGTGCCTTTGTGTTGGCACAGCTTCCGGGGGAGGGGGATAAGCAAAGAGGAACCAGCCAGGCCCTTACCTGGTCAGAAGCCCCTCCCTTCCGAAAGGGAACCACACGGATGGGCCTCCGTGCCCCCTGGCTCCCCCTCAGGGGGACACAGCAGAGGGCTGGGGCCTTAGGCTAATGTTGGCAGGGACACCACCCAGTGCTTGAGTTGAGCAGAGAAGGATTTCAGAGCCAAGGACACAAATGTTAAGAGAAAGTTTACTTAGAAACTTACAGAAGGGCCCTTGGAGCTTAGGAGAGAGGCAGGGGTAATGCGCGGGGGGGGGGGGGGGGGGGGGGGGGAGGGGGGGGGGAAGAGGCTCCTAAGTCCTTCACCCTGAGGGTTTTAAAGGCTGGGAGTTGAGGGGAGGCTCTCAATAGACGACTAGTCAGCTTTATGCTGATGCACCAACGTGAGACTTATTCCCCTAGCTTCGCCCGTGCTTGGGTGCGGTTGGTATAAATGGCACTCATTGGTTTTGTGATCCGTCTTCCTGAGAGTTTAGCTGTTTATCCTCTGGTTGGGGAGAAGTGCAAACCATTTACTCTTAAGAGTCCTCGGCTAGGGGAGATGGGATTTTGTGATTTCCTCCACGGCTGGCTGGAACCAGCTTGGCCATTTATTTGTCTGTCTCCGTTTCCCTATTCCACTGTCCTGGCTTAACTCCCTAACCCCCACGGCCTCCTTAAACCAGATGTGTTAGAGGCAGAGGGAGGGGGCTCAGTCCCAAGATTTCTTTACAGGTTTCCAAGGCCAAGACGATGGGAAATGAGGCAGATAGGCAGGGGGTGCTGCAGCCAGGCCCCCTCCAGCATCCCCCACTGCCTAACCCTGAGGCTGGTGGTGAGACAGCATGGCGGAGGGGTCGGCCCAAAGCCAGCCCCACCAGGAACGGACCGGGAGCAGGGGCAGTGGGATTGCACCTGCCGAGCCCCCTCCTGGGGCTGCCAGAGTCAGAGGGGAGGCAGGGAGGAGCCCCCTCCCCGGAGCCGGCAAGGCTCCTTCTCGCTGAACACGGAGCTCAAGTCTGAAGAGGAATCTGGTTTATGCCACAGCCAAGGTCAGCAGAGTCCTGGCTGGGCCTGGGGGGCACAGGGCCCCACCCTCTGCAGGTCCTGTCCGTGCCCCAGTGGGCACCGGGCCGGGCAGTCAGTCCGAGGGGCCCTGGCACGCCTGGCAGTCCCTCATGGCCTCAGAGTAGTCCTCGATCTGGATGGTCATGGTGTGGAAGTTGAACTTGCCCTGGAGGCGGGCGCTGGCGGCCTTCAGCACGGCCTGGGCATCTGTGTTCTGAGCTGGGAGACAGGAGGACGCACAGGGAAAACGTTCACTCACTCGTGGCCCCTTAGAAACAGCCAGGAGCCCGACTCTCGCGCGCTGCCCCCAGCAGAGCTGGATGCATGAGCGTGAGCACTCAGAAAGCCCAGAGTCCACCCCTGCACCGGATTCCCGCCCCACCCGACCCCCAGGTCCCATACCTGCCACAGCCCGAAAGAACACGAAGGCACTGGCTTTAGGCTTTCCTCTACCACCCCCACTCCCTCACCCCAGCCCCCCCAGCCTCAGTTTCTTCATCTATAAATGGGACTGTGATGATCAAATGGAATAATGCGTACAAAGCACTCCGCCTGGGGCCAGGTTCGAAACATGGGCGCTGGAAGCATCTGGGATTGCCTGGACCCGACAGGGGTGCCCAGGCGTCTCTGGCTGCCTCCCTCCCTCCCCTCGCCCCACGTGTCCCCACCACTCACCAATGGCGACATGGACAGACAGCACGGGCTGGGTCACGGTTAGGGCCCAGATGTGCAGGCTGTGCAAGGCTTCTACCCCCTCCACCGACAGCAGCAGGTCCCGGACAGCCGTGAAGTCCACGCCCTTGGGGGTCCCTGGGGACAGCGGAGTTGGGGGGGCGGGGCTGAGGGAACCTGCTCCCTCCCACCATGCTGGCTCCTGCTCCTCCGGGGTCATCTCAGAAGCGCGCCTTGGCCAGCAGATCTGCTGTCAGCCCCACCTCCCACGTGACCTCCGTCGTATCACGTGATGTATTTTCCTCTTCACACTTAGCACTGGAATTAACTTATGTGTTGGTTTCTCGTCTGCCTCCCCCTCTAAGATGGAAACTCCATGAAAGCAGCATAGTCTGTTTTATAATATTTACCGCCTCCCATCCCCGGCGTCTGGAACAGGCCTAGCCCACGGCAGGTGCTAAATAAAAAGAGGTTTCCCTTTTTTCGTGGAAAGCGGCACCCGCGTGGGGCATCATCACTGTCACTTTGATCTGAGTCTGTCACTTTCTTGGAGGAAAAGCTCTGACCTGCAGCTGGACCTTCCTGCGGACCACAACCCAGGATCCAGATGACCCTCCCACACGGAGACCCACGACCCCAAGACCTGGAGCCCAAGAAAGCCGGATGAATAGTGTGGCAAGCCGAAACTGGTTTGGCTCAGTGGATAGAGCATCAGCCTGCGGACTGGTGGGTCCCAGGTTCAATTCCGGTCAAGGGCATGTACCGTGGTTGCGGGCACATCCCTGGTAGAGGATACGCAGGAGGCAGCTGGTCGATGTTTCTCTCTAATCCATGTTTCTACCCTGTTTCCCCGAAAATAAGACAGTGTCTTATATTAATTTTTTCTCCCAAAGTTGCGCTAGGTCTTATTTTCAGGGGATGTCTTATCTTTCCATGCACTAGGTCTTATTTTCAGAGGATGTCTTATTTTTGGGGAAACACGGTAGCTCTCTATCCTTCCCCCTTCCTCTCTGAAAAAAATCAATTAAAATATATATTTTTAAAAATAGTGTGGCAACTCAGAGCAGACCATTTGCCTCTCCCTTGCATCCCTCCACGTCCAGCTACATCCTGCTGATGCGGGGCCTCGGAAAAGAAGGCCTGAACGGCTTCCCGTTCTCAGCAGCCTTGTTCAACACTGACCGTCCGTTTCGGAGCCTCAGTCTCCCCTCCTGTGCAATGGGAAGCATGACCCTCCACCCTCTCTTTGCCTGAGGGAAGGCAAACGGAGCCTGAGGAAGTGCGTGCCAGGGGCTGACCCAGAAACCACCTGATTGGGCAAGAAGGGCGCGTCTCAGCCGGAGGAGGCACCTGTGCCTGGGGGAAGGGAAGGCACAGCCCAAGGGACATTTCCAGGAACGGCCTCCCTGAGGGCCCAGCTCCACGCCAAGACCGGCTGGGGCCCTGGGTGATGCCGGGCTCCAGACCCTGGCTCCCCGCCAGCGTGCTGGGATCCACCTCCCACCCTGGAACTTCCACGAGAGCCGGAGAGCCGAGAGCAGAAGGGGAGCCCCGAGCCCGGTTACCTTCCATTAGCACCAGGACCACGTCCCTCAGGATGGTCAGGGTGGTCCCCAGCACCAGGACGGAGAAGATGAAGGTGCAGATGGGGTCTACGTACTTGTACTCTGGCTGCGGGAAGGAGGGAAGGCAGAGCTAGGGCTCAGCATCCACCCCTCAGCCTCACAGTGCGTAGGGGAGAGGGGCTCTCTCTGCAGGTGGGTGTGAGCCTTACCCTGGCCCTGCCCCCCAGCTTATTCTGCACCCAGAAGGACAGGCAAGCCAGACCACAGTTCAGAGAAGGCACAGTCCCTTCCCACCTCCTTGCCCAGGGGCTGAAACGTGGACAGCTCTAAGTGGAATCTTAGGCACCATCTAGTCCACCACCCCTAGTTTACAGCTAGGGAAACTGAGGCTCAGTTAGAGCAAGGCACTCACTCTTCATCACACAGCTGGCCAGGGGTGGAGCCAGGCTTCAAACTCAATGCCCGGCTCTTTCCAATGCACCGCACTGCCTCTGTGTATGTGACGGGCAAAGCCGGCTTTGGATCTGGCTCCACAACTTACCAGCTACGTGAGTCACTGAACCTTTCTGAGCTGCAGAAAGCACCAGAAGGTAGACAGACGTTCCTTCCCTCTCCCCACCCTTTTGGCAGGAGCTAGGAAGGGGGCTAGAATCCGGAAAGGGTCCTGTGCAGAGAGGAGCCCCAAGATGACCTACCCCCTGCCCCTCCCACCCCACTCCCCAGCCCACTTCCCTCCGTCCCCAGCTCTGACCTTGAAGTATAAGATAAAGGCTGCCACCAGGACGCCCACGCTTTGCAGCAAGTCTCCGATCACATGGATGAAGGCAGCTCGGACACTGGGGTTCTCCTGCTGCTGAATGGTGTCTTGGCTGTGCCCTTGGCCTTGGCCGTGGCTGTGTCCGTGGCCTTGGCCGTGGCTGTGTCCGTGGCCAGGCTGGTGAAGAGTCAATCCCATTCTGCGGAAGTGGAGACAAAGCTAAAGGGCTGAGATGGAGGGCAGCGGCTTCAGATCAGCCAGGTAAAGGTTCCCCATAAGGGCTGGTCTCCCTGTGGGGCTAAAACCCCAAACCCTGACCCAGACCCATGAGGCCTTGGCTCAGAGAGTCCCAGGAGAAAGGGCTGAACTCCAATGCCAGGCTGGATCTGGGCTCAAAGATGCCCCAGTGCCACGCCTCAGAGCAGAAGACCATGGAGTCATCGGTTCCCCCCACCAGGCCACAGACAGGGAAGCTGAGTCGTAGAGGAGTGGCTTGCTCGAGGCCACTGAACCAGGGAGAGAGAACCTAAATAAGACAGACGCTCTCCACACCCTGCCTCTCACTGAGACCAACTTCAACCACATCCGCTTGATAAAGAACTTGGAATCTTCTCCGAGGGACATCTGCTCCTGCAAGAACTAGACTAATCCCTCCCACTTCAGGTATAAAGCCTCCCAGGTTATTCACCAACATGTGTGGGGCGGGGTGGGGTGGGGTGGGGTGGGAGTGGGTGGAGGTGATGCTGCCCCAGGTGCACAGTTCCTGATGGACTTGGCCCAGGCCTAAGGCAGAGCCCAGGTGTTCCAGAGCTCAGACCGTTAGGAAAATCCTGTTCCTGTAGCCCGAGCAGGTCAAACTTGTGGCCCACAACGAATATTTTTGTGGCCCAGCCAATATAACGGTAAGTAAGAAACATTTTAATAAAAATTCTGTAACTTGTTATTCTAATACCTTGTTATTTTAATACTATCTAATGAAGAGGGTATATGCTAATTGACCCTCACACAGCCGAAGATGGTGGGACCCACAGCCAATAAGGAGGGAATATGCTAATTGATTGCCACACCCTCAAACATGGCGGCACCCACAGCCACAAGATGGAGCGCCTAGTCTCTTTGGTCCCACCGGGACGCCTGCCTCCAGAGTCCCCCAGTCCCATCAGCCCCCAGCTGTCTAGGGGCAGCTCAAGGTGCAGGCAAGCCTTAGATGGCAGCTGCCCACCCACCCAGGCCCCCCTGAAGGTCAGGTAACCAGGGATGGCTGAGGCTTGCACTGCCTTTCCAGGGCCTTCACCAGCTAGCTGCCAGCGAAGTTCATGGTCTTGTCAGTGGCAGCAGCAGAGGTGTGATGGGGCATTGTCTTTCCCTGATCACCAGATTGCCTCCCACCCCTGAGGGCTCCTGGACTGAGCGGGGGCAGGCCAGCCTGAGGGAACCCCCCTCCACTGCATGAATTTTCATGCACCAGGCCTCTAGTTATCAATAATGAACAAACTACAACATTCTCTAATGACTGATTACTATAGTTGTGTTGCATTCATTTCCTTTATGTGCCTTATGCACAGGCGCACCATGTCTCTCACTAATACCAGCAGTGAATATTTTAGCAGCCGACTGCCACGTCATTAGTCTTGTACTGACTTGTTTGGTGTGCGCAACAGGAAGTATTTCGCTTTCGGAAAATAAGAAAAATAGGTTTACTTGCATTACGCTTATTAACTTGCGTAGTTACTCAGTGTCTGGTAAGTTAATGTCCAAGAAAAAAAATATATAAATTTTTTATTAAAATGTCCTATCATTTTATGTTAACGATTACACATTTATTTCACTTTTTGTATTCAGCATGTCTCTATCAAAATGAACCTACGTTTCTATGGAAACTGAAGCTTTCGGGGGTTTTTTGCGGCCCACATAAACTTACACCTTGTTTATTTGGCCCTTGTTAGCCTTTGAGTTTGAGCTCCTGAACTGGAGTCCAGGCGGCCTGCTTCCACCAGAAGGCACACAGGCACGCACGTGGGACATGGGAGGAGGGAGGACTCACATGATGTTCACGGCCACGGCACAGCCCGCCGTGATCAGCATCGTCTTCCCTTGGATCTCATAGTTCCCAGAGATTAGCCGCTCTATCGCCAGGTACACCAGCACCCCCGTCACCACCCAGATGGACAGCACAGAGAGCAGGGCTCCCAGGATCTCTGAGGAAAAACCAACCCAACACCAGTTAGTCCGGAGCCCTGAGGCTGAGGAGACCTCTGTCCCAAGGCAGGGCCTGGGTCTGCTTGGGCCCTGCTGCACCTCATCCCACCACTCAAACCTCTGACAGTATCAGAGCGAGGAGTCTACTTCCTTTGGCTCAAGACTTTTTGTTTTACATGCAATGAAAGTTACTTTTGATAATTATTTTTAAGAATGAAAAAGACTTTATACCCGTTTAAAGCCGGTGTCTTCCAGAAAGCTCTGCTGGCCTTTCCTGCACCCCGCCCCCCCTCCCAACTTTCCCACCCCACACCCCCGGATTTGTTCTTGGAAGTTTGCCCACTTCATTTCATTGGAAGGTGAATTCTCCTCTCCACAACCTCTCCCACCCCACCACCTCCACCCCCCGAGACTGGGAGTTCCCAGGGGACAGAAGCGAAGTTGGACATTATCGTCCGTCCTCCATGAAAGTTGCTCTCCTGGCCTCACCCAGGGGATCTACCTAAGAAACCATATCTTGACCTGTCACTCTTCCAACCCCAACCCCATTCAAACCAGGGCCCTCACCAGCTCGCTGCCAGCCGAAGTTCATGGTCTTGGTGGCCGGCCGGGAGGACATCCAGAGAGAGAAGAGGCTGGTGAGCATGCTGGCAATGTCAGTGAGGAGATGGGCTGCATCAGTCATGATGGCCAAGCTATGTGCTAGGTACCCACCTGCAGGGCAGTGATAAGAATGGAGGGTCCTCATCAGCTCCCCAAGGAGACACAGGGTGACCTCTTCACCCATCACTGTATGATCACTGCAAGTACTTTCTCTGGGTCTTAATTTCTACTATCTGTGAAATGGGACTAACAACATCTACTTACAGGGTGAACGTGAAAATCAAGTTCAAATAGGGCCAGGAAAGCATAGTAGACATTCAGGAAGTGCTCCTTCCTTCCAGGCATTCAGACCTTCCCTGCCCTGCTAGTTTTGTGTAATCTTGGGCAAATTACATAACTTAAATGTACCTGTTTCAAAGTCTATGAAATCAGGAGACTAACAGCACCCATGTGACAGCAAATGGTTGTTTTGAGGGTTGCATGAGATAACGTGTATTTAAAAGACTTAACCAAGTATAGGAAATACCGTATTTTTCGGACCATAAGACGCACCGGACCATAAGATGCACCAGTTTTTAGAGAAGGGAAATGAAGAAAAAAAGATTCTGAAACAAATAGTGTCCTAAAATATTTTATGTGCATTAAAACCCAACATCACAGTCATTAACACATGTAATCAATCCTGTAAAGTAAACAGCAGCATTTAGAACCATTTTAGAGCTGGGCAAGCACACAGAGACCACACAGAGCCGGGCAAGTAAAAAAACTTTTTTTAAAAAGAATATGTGTAGGCTATATCTGAACCATAAGACGCAGGGATTCCCACCCCCCCCACACTTCTTGGGGGAAAAAAGTGCGTCTTATGGTCTGAAAAATACGGTAATATGGTAATAACTATGCATGGTATCAGACAGCTTCTAGACTTATGGGACTGATCACTCTGTAAGATATATAAATGTCTAATGACTAGGTTGTACACCTGAAACTAATACAATATTGTATGTCTATAGTAACTGAAAAAGTAAAGTTCTTAAATAAAAAAATTAAAAAGAACATAGTCTTCAGTATTCAACTATGATCCTTCAACAACACAGGTTTGAACTGAAAGGGTTTTATTCCTATGTGAAATTTTTTTCAGTACAATTATCCCTTCATATCCATGGATTTCCCACCTGTTAATTCAACCATCCCTTGGAAAACAGTACTTTCACATCCCCACACACGGTTTCCCAAACACGGTTTCCCATCTGCAGTTGGTTGAGTCAATGGATGAGAAGGAGCCAACTGTTGCTAAGTTTTCAGGGAGTCAGAAGTTACTGGATTTTCAACTGTGCAGGCAGTCGCCCCAAAACCGACCCCCACTCCGCTGTTCAAGTGTCAACTGCATTAATATTGCCAGCACGTTCAGGAGAAAAGTCTTTGGATCATCCAGACTACCCACGTGACGGTTTCATGTAATCAGCACACAAGTCCTTACCGACGATCTCCCCAACCATGAACACCAGGCAGATGGCAGAGGCCACGTAGAGCTGTCGTCGGGCCTGCTCCTTCCTGGGGTCACTGCCAGGACCCTTCTGGGAGTGGCAATAGTGACTGTTCTCCGCCGGCAGCTCAATGGATGGCAAGTCCAGCTCGGGTCGTGACACGGAAATCCAGCCAGCCCCGCTCTGCCACAGAGACCCCATGTAAGACCTAGCCAGGGAGGAAAGAGTAGACTCAGCGCTGAGATGGGGACCAGGAGGGCCGACCCCACTCCGCTCTCTCCGTGGGACCTGGGCGTTCCCAGGTGCACAGTTTGAGAACTAGCTAAGGACACTCCAAGCTCCACAGTCCCAAGGAGCGACCAGAGGCCCATGTCCGCAGGTGGGTGCTGGGGAATGGCCAGTCTGCAGGAGTCTAAGGGCCGTGGCCCGGATGTTCACTTCTCCCCCATCCCTCCCAGGGCCTAGAGGAGGCCAAGACCTTGGGAACTGGCCAAGGGGCGGACCCAGTCCAGTGGAGCACGGAGAAGAAACAGAGCTCAGGCCCTGGCAGACGGCAAACCCCCATCTGTGCACCTGGGGACACGGGCCCTCCAGGGCCAGGCTGCCCGGGGCAAAGTTCCCGGCCCGACCGTGGGCGGGGTCTAGGCCTCGCGCTCCGCACCAGGGGGCAGTGGTTAGGCTCCGCGGCCCGCCGCCAAGGTGGACTGGTCCCAGCGTCCCGCTGGGTTCCCCTCTCCTTCCCCCTCGTTCCCCTCTCCTTCCCCCTCGCCCCACCCTCCGGTGAGTGCCCGGTCCCAGCGCCGCTCAGACCGTCCCGGGCCGGCGAACGAGGAGGATCGTCCGCTGCTGCCCCATCCCCGCCCTCCCCGGGCTCCCGCTTACCGCGCCCCGGACCTGGCGTCCAGCAGGCGCTGCTTGTCCACGGTCTTCATGGCCCCGCGCCCGGTGGGGAGCCGCACGCAGACTCCCCGGAGTGAGACCTGGAATGCGCGGGGCGCGCTCACCTGCGGGGAGAGCTCACTGCGGGGCGCGCTCACCTGCGGGGAGACCTCACCTGCGGGGAGACCTCACTGCGGGGAGAGCTCACTGCGGGGAGAGCTCACCTGCGGGGAGACCTCACTGCGGGGCGCGCTCACCTGCGGGGAGACCTCACTGCGGGGAGAGCTCACTGCGGGGCGCGCTCACCTGCGGGGAGAGCTCACTGCGGGGAGAGCTCACTGCGGGGAGACCTCACCTGCGGGGAGAGCTCACTGCGGGGAGAGCTCACCTGCGGGGAGACCTCATTGCGGGGAGAGCTCACCTGCGGGGAGACCTCATTGCGGGGAGAGCTCACCTGCGGGGAGACCTCATTGCGGGGTGTGCTCACCTGCGGGGAGACCTCATTGCGGGGAGAACTCACCTGTGGGGAGAGCTCACCTGTGGGGAGAGCCCAGCCGGACGCTCGCCGCCCCCCGTGCGCCCCTCTCTCGCCGGGACCGTCCCGCAGCCGCTCCGCTCCGCCCGGCCCCGCGCGCCCAGCCCTTTATCCGGCCTCGCCGCCCCGTGTGAAGCGGCCGCCGGCCGCCGTGTGCAAAAGCCCTCGGGGAAGGGGGATGGGGCGGCCGGGTGCAAAGGATGCCCAGGAGCTGCCGCCCCCTCCCCACCCGGCCCCCATCCCCGCGTCCCGGGGCCCGGAGCTCACGCTGCTCGCGGTAAAAGGCTGAGCTGGGACTACGCGCCGTCTGGTCCGCTTTTCCCTGCGGGGCTCGGGGGCCAGAAGTTCGCGGTTTGTAGGAATGAGCTTTGGGTCCAGGGAGAGGGAATGTGGCTCCCGGGGCTGGGGTGGTGTCCTCGCCTCCGGCGGGAGCCGCCTGCGCCTTTGAAATGGGCGTGTTTCTACCCTCAGGCGGCAGCCATCTGCGGCCGCTGCTCCCCGCTAGGCTGAGGAGGGTTCCGGAGGCCGAGCCTGCTCCCTCCGGGTGGGCCCTGGCCCTCTTTGGGGCTGACTGAGGCTGCCCCACCCATCCCAGACCCGGGAGCAGCTCCGCTTCCTCGCCTGCGCGCTCCGACAAGTCTGGAGTGACCGGTTTCACCTCCATTCCCTTCACCGGGCAGCGTCGCTCTTGGGCGTCAGTCTGCATTTGGGCAGAGCTGGCACCACCACCTCTTTTCCCCCCGACCCGCAGCTCACAGGATCTCCAGCAAAATGCGCTTTCTGTCCTCAAATTCCTTCAGTCTTCTCTCGAAGGATACTGTCCTTTTTTCTTTTTTTAATCCTCGCTCCAGGATATTTTCCCATTGATTTCTTGGAGAGAATGGAAGAGAGTGGAAAAGACAGAAAAATATTGATTGCCTCCTGCACACGCCCTAACCAGGGTCTGCCCCGGAGGATCCTGCAACTGAGGTAAGTGTCCTTGACTGGAGTTGAACCCGGGACCCTTCAGTCCTCAGGCTGATGCTGTATCCATTGAGCCAACCCAGCTAGGTCTACTTTTTTATTTTTAAATATTTTTTATTGAATTTTAGAGAGAGATAAAAGGTGGGGGAAGAGAGAAATATGTGAGTCAAGGGGCTGCCGCCAGCACACCCCTACCAGGGAATTGAGGCCCCAAATCTGGGCATGTGCCCTGAGGGGGAATGGAACCAGCAACCTTTTGGTGCACAGGTTGACTCCCAACCAACGGAGCCACACTGGACAGAACTACCGTGTTTCCCCGAAAATAAGACATCCTCCAAAAATAAGACCTACTTACAGGTTTCCTTCTGAGTGAAATATAAGGCATCCCCCCAAAAATAAGGCCCCCCCTAGGCTAAACATGAGAGATTTGGTCCACTGATTCTGAAAGAAATGGAGTTACAAGAAATTCACCAGGAAATTAAGGAACTGGTTATGATGATGTTCCAGAAGATGATGACATGATTGTCATTGAATAAATGAGTAAATTCTTGATACTGTAGGATTCACAGTTTGTCTGGTTTGTGTTGACAACTACCATACTAGCGTACCGTATACAGGTAATAAATTTCCTTTATTTTCATTTAACAATAAATGTGTACCGTATTCTTCTTCATGGAAAAATAAGACATCCCCTGAAAATAAGACCTAGCGCATCTCTGGGAGAAAAAAATTAATATAAGACACTGTCTTATTTTCAGGGAAACAGGGTATGTGAGGATACTTTAGAGAGTAAACCTATAGTCCTAGCTGGTATAGTCCTCTATTGATTCAGTGAATAGAGCAGACTGAAGGGTCCTAGGTTCAATTCCCGTCAAGGACACATGCCTGGGTTACAGGCTCAATCCGTAGTAGGGGGCATGCAGGAGGCAGGCAATCAATGATTCTCTCATCATTGATGTTTTTTTCTCTCTCCCTCTTGTTTCCTCTCTAAAATCAATAAAAATATATTTTAAAAAGTAAATAAAAAATTAATGGAAAAATATCCTTGGGTGTGGATTAACAAGAAAAAAATGCTTCAGAACTTGAGAAAGAACTAGAAATGTGAACAAAAATCTGATTCACTGAAATTCAAAGTTAGGGACTAAGTTAGCCTTGGAAAAACCAGAGTGAAAGTGGGCCAGGGTATGAGGGTTTTGTGGAGGAAAGAAGCCACATGCTGACCTGACAAGCTCAAGGGAGGCCTGCAGGCGGTCTTGCAAACTCAGAGACTTAAGGTAACCACAAAGGATGGTCTGAAATTAAACTTGACCTAAAGGCAATTATGGTAGCAGTTGCATCCTAGGCCAGTGTCTTCACTGACAAGGTCAACCTTTACCTTAACTGAGCCTATCTGTCTTTTTGCATCTGTGATAACATGCCCTTGAAATGTCTGGGTAACTTGTAACTTCCCTTTTTCTGGACCCCCTGGGGCACAACCAAATGTGGTAGGCGCCAGGACAGATACCACAAATTCCTTCATTATCATGTTAATTGATCCTGCACCCACCTAAGTATGTGTCCATCATTTTACTTTTTACCCAATCCCAGGAGTTTCTCCTGGTTTGTTTTATCCCACCTTCTTAATCTATCACCAATGAATTTCATGTACAACCCACCTATGTCCCTCCGTTGATTGCATTGTATAAATGCAAATGTAACACCCCAATCTCCGGAGCATTATCTCAATTCATTGAAGTACTGCTTCCCTGCATATGTCCACAGTTTGGCTCAAATAAACTCACTGAAATTCTTTACAGGTTTCAATGTTGTTTTTTACATTAACAGTTTCAAGCACTTTCATAAAATGAGTTCTATAGAACATTAGTTCTGGAGGATGTCACATAAATGAATAAACTGGGAAATGGATAACTTTTTTAAAAAATTATTCAGAACAGCCCTAGCTGGTTAAATATTCAATCCAACCCTAGCCAGCTTGGCTTAGTGGATAGAGCATCGGCCTGCAGACAGAGGGGTCCCGGGTTCAGTTTCGGTCAAGGGCACATGCCTAGATTTCCGGCTTGATCCCTAGTGGGGGGTGTGTGTGTGTGTGTGTGTGTGTGTGCAGGAGACAGCTGATCAATGATTCTTTCTCATCATTGATGTTTCTTTCTCCATCTCCTTCTCCCTTTCTCTCTGAAATCAATAAATATGTTTTAAAAATAAAATTTAAAATAAATATTCAATCCAGCAAAAACTATTATGAGCCTACCTGAGCTGGTTTGGCTTAGTGCATAGAGTGTCAGCCTATGGACTGAAGAGTCCTGGTAAGATTCCAGTAAAGGGCACATGCCTAGGGTTGTGGGCTCAATCCCCAGTGGGGGGTATGCAGGAGGCAGTCAATCAGTGACTCTCATTATTGATGTTTCTTTCTCTCCCTCTCCCTTCCTCTCTGAAATAAATATATATTAAAAAAAAAAAAAAAGGCAGATGATTTTGTAAGACTTGGGTTCACCACTGGCAAAGTACGTTATATCTTCATGGTTTAGACAGATAAATACCACATAATCTCTGCCCAGATTTAAAATGCATGCCTGCATAATATACATTTGCAAATCTGTCTTGGGAATGTTCTGCTTCAGATCAGATGCCTTGTTATTGAGAAATCAAAGTTCTTTAAATAGAGGTTGAAAATGAGGCAGAAGCTAATTTTTGCAGTACAAAGCAAATTGTGTGTTTTATTTTCATTTAACAGATTAAATATAGTTCTACCCTTCAAAAAAAAACAACTATTAAGAGCCTTAAAGATCAGGCAGTATTCCAAACACTATAAACTTGATGGACCAGTTATTGTCTAACATCAAATCGCTTTGCTTATGGCAGGACTACTCAGAGCCCTTAACTTTCTACTGTGTTCTGAATGTCAGAACGGTGGGACAGACTCTGCAGTGTTCCTCACATTTATAAGCTCAAGGTGTCTCAGACCCAATTAATGCACCATCTTTGATTCAATCAGTTTCATCTCTCTCCCAGCCCCTTGGTTCCTTGTTCATGGAAAGCCTTGGTGCTACTTCGGCCTTGGCCTTGGCCATCACCTCTTCCTGGTGGCTATCTTGACCTTCCCTAGAGTAAACTTGGGAACCAGCAGAGCATCCATTGTGCGACCCCAGCACCCATGCCCAACCCACTGGACCACGGAGGTTCCATTCCTCCCATGCCCACAGAGTCAATTTGGTGTGCCATCTATTGCAATAGTTTAGCTACCCCAGCAACTGCCCAAAGGGGCCAAGAGATGCAACCTGGAAGTGTAAGAGAATTAACACTTTGGGAGACAAACTTCAATTCTGAGACAAGAGATGGAAGGAGCCAGGAGGTAAAAAAAAAAAAAAAAAAAAAAAAAAAAATCTCCCTTCTTCTCTCTGAGGGACTCTGAGATGGCTGTGTTCATATGACTGGCTAGAAACATCTCATGTGACTGAGCAAAGAGTCGGGTTTCTCCGACACTGCTTCTCTTCTATCCACCTTGCTTTGATTTTCCCTCATTGAATTGTATCTAAACTAAAACATTTAAGTTTTGCCCCAGGTTCTGTTTTCCAAAGAGCAGAGAACAGGGCCTTCCCCTGGGTCTTGGGATCACCTCAGGGCCAGTTTTCCACTGGGAAATGCTGGTGTAAAGAGCTCTCCTTTCGGGGGACAGAAGCCCATTCCTGTCTCCCTCCTGCCACACACTTCCTGTCAGGCCTCTGTCCAGCTGAAGTCTCCAGAAAAAAGGCTACGAAACCCCAACTCCTTGGGCAATAACAGGAAGAGAGCACTGTGCATTTATTGAAACAACATGTAACAAACTCAGTTACCATCCCCTCGTCAGGGATAGACACTGAAATACAGTACGTTACCCTCATCTAACAATTGCCAGTCACACAATGACCGGGCATTATCATACAAAAGTTCCTTTACAAAAAGCACCAAATTGGCATACATGTACAAGTATATACAAAAATCACATTTTAAAAATGTACAAAATATTCCATTTTGCACCAATGTAGAAAAGTGTCCTGTGTGGTTGTTTCAAGCACATTTCCAACTCTGCTTCGGTGGCTGCTGGACACAGCGGTGAGGGTCCTACTCCTAGTCCCTGCTCTCAGGAGCAGAGAGAAGACACTTCTCCCCGGGGAACCTCCAGGGGCCCCGACCCCTCCCACCCTGGGCCTGTCACCAAGGCAGCCGGGCCCATCCCACCCTTCCCAGTCTCTGCATCTAGAGGTCTCTTCCTCATCCAACGCCTTACTGGTGTCCTGAAAAGAGAAAGAAACATCAAGTGAGACGGGGACTCAGGGATAAGCTGTAGTGACAAAATGATCAAACTCCAATTCCTGCCTAGCCTCTTCCTTTTTTTTTTTTTTTTTTATTGATTTCAGAGGGGAAGGGAGAAGGACATATAGAAACATCAATGATGAGAATCATGGATCGATTGGCTGCCTCCTACATATCCCCTACTGGGGTTCAAGCTCAACATTGTTAGCTCTTCCCAAAATTTTACAAGGAGAAAATCCAGATTCTCAGCTGAAATGTCTTTTTAAAATTTATTTTAAAAAAACAACAACAACAAACTTTATTGTTGAAAGCATTATATGTTCCCCCTTTTTTCCTCTATTGATCTCTTCTAGCCCATCCTGACCTCCAGCCCAGGCTTTTACCACCTTATTGTCTGTGTCCATGGGTTATGCATGTATGCATACAAATCCATTGGTTGACCTCATCCCACCCACAAACCCTCCCCTGCCTTGAAGTCTCCTTTTAAAAAATCCTTTAAGCCCTGGCTGGTGTGGCTCAGTTAGTTGAAGAGTCCTCCCGTACACCAAAAGGTGGTGGGTTGGGGGAGCAGGGGCAGGCTGGAAGAGGACAATGGAGGGAGGGGGAAAGGGACATATGTAATACTTTCAACAATAAAGAATTTTTTTTTTAAAGGTGGTGGGTTCAATTCCCAGTCAGGGAACATAACAAGACTGTGTGTTCAATCCCAGGTTAGGGTGCATGTGGAAGGCAACCAATCGATGTTTCTCTCTCTATATCTCTCCTCCTCCCTTCCACTTTCTCTAAAAATCAACGGAAAAAATATCCTCAGATGAGGATTCATGAAAATAAATAAATTAATAATAAATAATAAAATAATCCTTTAAAATAATCTCCTAATTTTTTAAATGTGGATAACTGGTTTAAATTTTTTTTTTTTAGGATAAAAAAAATTTAAACATTGTGCTGGCCAAATAAAATACCTCAGTGGACCAAGCTTGGCTCATGAGTGTTCTGTCATTTATGTCTGTTATGCTGCACTGCTTTGCATATAGATATAGGTCATTTATTTTATTTACTTATTTATTTTAATATATATATATATATATATATATATATATATATATATATATATATATTAATATATTTTACTGACTTTTCACAGAGAGGAAGGAAGAGGGACAGAGAGCTAGAAACGTCAATGAGAGAGAAACATCGATCAGCCGCCCCTTGCACACCCCCTACCGGGGACGTGCCCTCAACCAAGGCACATGCCCCTGACTGGAATCGAACCTGGGACCCTTCAGTCCACAAGCCGACGCTCTATCCACTGAGCCAAACCAGTTTCGGCTTGTATTATATTTTTATTGATTTCAGAGAAGAAGGGAGAGGAAGAAGGAGAAACATCAATGATAAGAGTGAATCATTGATTGGCTATCTCCTGCATGCCCCACAATGGGGATCGAGCCTGAAACCTGGGCATGTGCCCTGACCAAGAATCGAACTGTGACCTACTGGGTTCAGAGGTTGACACTCAACTATTGAGCCACACTGGCCAGGCTAGATATAGGTCATTCAGCTATAAAACTGGGAGCTTTTTATTATGAATAGTTTGGAGTTTTTTTCTCTAAGGGTACAGGGAGCAGGACTTTATCCTTAAAAGGTTTACACATATTGGGAACATCATCATATATTGGCATCATCCCCCATATCCAGCACAGCACTTTGCACACAGACAACATCTTATGTTGAATGAATGAATGAAGATGGATTTCTTACCTTCTTCCTTGCCCTCTGTGGACTCTTCCTCTTCCTGATCTTCTTCAATGAATTCTTCCTCTTCCTCATCTGTGTGTGACAAAGAACAACAGTATGAGGATAGGCTGGTTTCTCAGAGGAGCTGCTCAGAGGAAGACTGGCTGGAGACAACACTGATCCCAAGGAAGGGAGAGGGAGAGAGAGATAGAAACATCAGTGATGAGAGAGAATCATTGATTGGCTGCCTCCTGCATGCCCCCCCCCCGGGGGTCAATCCTGCAACCTGGGCATGTGCCCTTGATCGGAATAGAACCCAGGACTCTTCAGTCTACAGGCCGATACTCTATCCACTGAGCCAAACCAGCTAGGGCCATCCCAACCCTTTCTGATGCCCACTCAGGGTCAACTGGCCATGCCAAGACATCAGTAGCCCAGGAGGTGATGGGTTTGCCAAACCTAAGCTGCACAGAGGTAGGCTTCCTCCTGTCCCTTCCCGCCCCTTCCCTCCTGCACCTCGAAGGAGGGAGGCTCAAGACGCTCCTTTGTTCCTACAGCTGCAGCAGCTGCTGTCACCTGATCTGCCTGTGACCAAAGGGGACTTTGGTGGGCACCCTGGACTTCTGCCCACCTCTCAGTGAGACAGGTAAACATCACCCGTGGAGATGGGACAAGAGCACCTTAATTCTCAGCAAGCAGAGTCCTTGTTTTGAAGGAATTTGCCAGCCTTTGGAATCTGCTAGCCTAGCACTCCTTGTCCACCTTTCCTCATTCCTCAGCCTACTGGGAGTGGCTGGGGGTGGGGAACACTTCTGGGGCCTCGTGCTCCTTGGCTCTCTGGAGCTGAGCCCCAGACAGACTGACCGAGCTGCAACCTGTGTCCTCACTTTCCCCTCCTGGGATATCACCTTCAAGCTCTGCCAGCAGGGAACATGGCTCCTCCCCACCCCCGCTCCAAAGCCAGTCCTCACTCCTTTGGGGCTGTGAGGGGGTCACCACAGAGTCAGAGTATTTGTCCAGAGTGTCTGGGAAGAGGCTTGAAGGAGTAAATGCCTCCAAAATGACAGCTCAAAATTTCGGCCACCTACCAGGGACCTATGCACAACTACTCACAGCAGCGGTGCTGAGGACTTTCTATGTGCCCAAAGTGCTAAGCGCTGGACACGCATTGTCCCATATAATCCTCACGAGGGCCTGTGAGCCAGATGGCCCTCAGTGGCATTCTTGTGGGCTACTTACTAGCTGTGTGGCCTCCAGGAGACTCTCCCTGCCTTGACTTTCACGATGGAGATGACCACAGACACTACCTCATGAAGTTGTACTAAATGATAGGATTTATGTCAAGGGCTTAGGCCCGAATTTATGTCAAGGGCTTAGTGCTGGGACATAGAAAGCGCTTAATAAATAGTAGCAGTTGGGTGGTTCTCTTCCCATTTTCCTCTCAGGAAACTGAGGCTTGGGGAGATGATAGAAGGCAGTGCAGGTCTTCAGAAGAATCTTTTTTTTAATATCTTAGCTTCAGGAGGGTAAAGCTGAACAGGTGATCTACTGCAATGGCTATACCCAAGTCTGCCAACATTTCAGCTTTGGATGCATTTTTGTCCTCACCCACAAACGAGGTGCATCTGGTGCTCTGTTAATAGATGCAACACCAGATTCTGCAGGCTTGTGGGAGAGCAGAGCTTTCTCATGCCAGCCCAGGTACAATTCTTCCCTATTCCTGACGCCCCTCTCTGTCCTGGTCATTGAAGCATCACCTCTCAGAACAATGCAACATTCGGCAGAATTGGATCCCATTCTCTCTTTCTCTGTCGCTAAGTAGCTACCTTTCAACTGTGATCTTAAGCAAATTATTAGCATCTTTGTTCTTTACGGGGTTGCCTCCGTTTTCCCTTATTATTGTTATGGTTACATTGTTACAATTATTATGAGTACTCTATGGAAGAGTAATTATACACAGAAATGAGGACATGATATAGATGAATTAAGGCACCTGAGTTTTCATAGATTAAAGCATGGAAAAGCTGAAGCTAAGGCAGGCTTTAGGCCCTAACTAGTACATGTCTAGTACTCTATAAAATCCTTTCTATCAATATCCTACAGTAGTTGTTGCAACAGCACCAAGAAGTAGTCATTATTAGCAGGCCCACTTCTAACCTAATTTTTTTTTTTTTTTTAATCCTCACCTGAGGACATTTTTCAATTGATTTTTAGAGAGCGTGGAAAAGAGAGGGAAAGACAGAGAGAAACATTGATGTGAGAGAAACACATCAGTTGGTTGTTTCCTGCATGAGCCCCAACCAAGGCCTGGGCCAGGGAGGAGCCTGTAACCAAGGTATGTGCCCATGACCAGAATTGAACCTGGGACCCTTCGATCCCCAGGCTGACGCTCTATCCACTGAGCCAAACTAGCTAGGGCTAATCTGATTTTTAAAGTTAGGAAAGTGAGCTCAGAGAGGTGGAGGGGTTCTCCAAAGGTCATACAGATAACAAACGGCAGCTCCAGATTCAAACTTGGGTCTGCCTGTCTCCAGACGCCATGCTCTTCCTACAGCCCAAGACACCTCCCAACAAGGATCACTAGTTGAGCAACAATTACGTAGCAGGCACTGTGCTCAGCTCTCAGCGCATCCAGAAGATGGTTGATATGTGGGCATCTTTGCTAGTGTATCTGTTTCCACATGGGAGGCAGTGGAAGGGAAGCTGATTTCCAGGGGTCGAGCAGGGAAATAGAGAAGTCACCTCTCCCCTCACCTGTCCCAAAGTCGATGGTCCTCAGGGTGTCTGCTATGTGCTCTAAATCCAAAGTGAAGTAGTCCATGTTTTCAAAGCCCTGCTCTGTCTTCCCCAGCTGGCAACCCTTGGAAGCTTCCACAATGCTGTAGGGAATGTGGGGTGGAGAGGGTGGAGGGAGAAAGAGAGAGAGAGATGAGAGGGTTTAGTGTAGGAATGAGGTGTTTTAGCGCCAAGCACACCAGTGCACATGCTTATGGCCACACCCAGGCCTTGCACCTAGGAGCCCCCCTGGAGTGGTGGAGTAATTCCTCTCCAGTCACAAGCAAGTACAGGTCCAAGAAAGCAGGGAATCACACCAAGGCCAGAAAGCCAGCCTGGGCGAAACCCTCCCAGCAGCCCTAATGCAAAGCGGGAGGCCCTGGTGGGAGCAGGGGCCTTGGATCACAGCCCTGGGGAGACACTGACCTTTTTTTTTTTTTTTTTTTTTTAATTTAATTTTATTTTTTTAAATATATTTTATTGATTTTGTACAGAGAGGAAGGGAGAGAGATAGAGAGCTAGAAACATCGACGAGAGAGAGTCATCGATCAGCTGCCTCTTGCACACCCCCTACTGGGGATGTGCCCGCAACCAAGGTACATGCCCTTGACCGGAATCGAACCCGGGACTCTCAGTCCCCAAGCCGACGCTCTATCCACTGAGCCAAACCGGTCCCGGCGAGACACTGACCTTTTGATGAGTTTCTTGGCACTCTGTGGGGGAGAGAGAGCAGAGGGTCAGGATTGCATTAGGATTGCATTAGTTCCAGGAAATCAGCAAAACCAGAGACTGGTTGCTGTAGATGGACCCTTGGTACCATTTCCTAGCTTAGCCCTGACCTGCTCCCCACCCTGAGTTGAACAGAACTTGGATCTTTCCTCCGTCCATGGTCTGCACAGGTCTTGGTGATTACTCTAGGCCAGTGGTCGCCAACCTTTTGGACCTCATGGGTACCAGTGGTGCGCAGACCACCCCTGCTCTAGGCCCCTCCCATTGTCCTGACAGGAAGCTTGGATTTTAGGGATATCAGTCTAAACACCTTAATCCCTGGACTCTCCAAGATGAGAATCTTATCCTAATCACTTTTTTATAGCCGATGCCTAGCACAAAGCCTGGCCTATGGTAGGTGATCAGGAAATTTTTATGAAAGAACGGAACTGTAGGATCTTATAGCTGATCCTTTTCTGTCTCCCCAGTAAACTCTTCTAGGGCAGGGTCTCTGTGTCTCTACCTCAGTGGCTGGCCTATAGTAGGTGCTCAATGAATCGGCTTACATAGGGATTGTCTCAGGCTCAATTTACAGAAGAGGAAAATGGGCCTCAGGGAGGTTTCAGTGACTTGCCCAAGGGCGTATGGATGGTCAGTGGAGGAGCACAACTTGAACTTTAGACCGAGCGGTTGAGTTGGCGTGATTCTGAGCACACCCTCCTGGTCCTGCTCACCAAGAGGAAGATGGCTCCACCAGGCTCGTCCAGAGACTGGATGGCTGTCTCCACCAGCTTGGTGGACTTGTCCAGCTGCTCCCGGTACTGCTGGATGAGGGCCTCAATGAAGCTGAGCTTCTCCTCCTGCTCCTGCGTGATCCGCTGTAGCAACTCACTCTTCTTCTCATCCAGGATGGCATACAGCACGTCAAACTTCTGGCTCAGCTCCTCCTTCACCCGGTGGCTGTTTTCCTGGGGGCACACATCTGGGAGTCACATCCTGTGGGGTCCTCCCTATCCCCAACACTTCCTTCCTAGGGTGGATGTACTAGGAACAGAGGCCCTAAAGCTAGAAGACGTCTGCCCTGGCTGGTGTGGCTCAGTGGTTGAGCATAGGCCCGTGAACCAGGAGGTCAGGGTTCAATTCCTGGTCAGGGCACATGCCTGAGTTGTGGGCTCCATCCCCTGTGGGAGGCGGGCAGGAGGCAGCAGAACGATATTTGTCTCTCTCTAAAAATTAATAAAAAATATTTTTTAAAAGCTGGAAAAGGTTTTTCTACACCCTCACTTTACACAAAATAAAATGAAGGCTTAATAAGAAGAAAGCACTTACTAAGTTTTCATAGCTACTTGGTACATGTTTGGAGTCTGGTGTCATGGAGAAAGCAGCCCTTTTCCTCAAAAAATAGAGACTCTAAGGACAAATGAAATGATATATATTCTGGCCCTCCTGTGTGTCTCCAAATCTCACTCTTCCTCCCATTTTAAAACCAAGACTGGATTCAAGAAGCTCTGCATCATTTGGTCCTAGAAGAGGAGGAGAAGCAACTCCTCCCCTAAAGACCTCGTCATTGAGGCCCTCTTCTCATCACCACAGATGTTACACCTCAGTTTCTTATCTATAAAATGGGTATAATAATAGCATCTCATCAGACTCACGTTCTAACATTACTTATCAGTCTGGGAGTCCCATCACGAGGGGTAATGATGTCCCCTTCCTTCCTTCGAATCTATCTAACACACACTCTTTGTCTATCAACAATACAGTGATCCCTCCCCCTGTCTGATTTCCAGGGCCTCATCCCAAGTGAAGAAAAATCATAGATGCTTTTGTAGAAATAGAAGTTTCCTTCTGCCTCTACAGTCTTGCTACTCAAAGTGTGGTCCATGGACCAGCAACTTAGGCAAACCCTGAGAGTTTGTTAGAAAAGCAGAATCGCATGCCTCCTTCCAGAGCTACTGAATCAAAACTTAAATTTTAACAAGACCCCAGAGTGATTTGTATGTACTTTAGAGTTTAAAACCTTGGTCTATAGCACACAGAGAGCAATGGCCTAAGCACTGCCAATGCTGGCCCTGGCAGGTGTGGAGCAGTTGCTTGGGCATCGTCCCATGCTTCTTAGTACAGTTGTCAGGGCAAATGCCCGGTTATGGGCTTGATCCCTGGTAGGGGGCATGTAGGAGGCAGCTGATCCGTGTTTCTCTCCCACATCGATGTTTCTCTCTCTCTTTTCCTCTTTCTCTAAAAATCAATTAAAAAAAATAAAAACTACCAATGCTAACAAAAGAACACTGGGAATTATTGGTGGGATGGGGGTCTGTCTTGTTCACCATCCCATCCCCAGAGCCTTTGGCAGGGGCTGACATAGCTGTGCTCAAGAAGCATTTGCTGAGTGAGCGGATTAATGGATAATGCATAATGAATTAATGGATTCGTGAATTAGTGGATTCGTCCGTCCTTCCTCACCATTCCCACTGGAACACCCTACTCCAGGCCCCAACCTTGAGTTACAAGCCATGGCTGCACTGGAGGCTTCAAACCCCCAGGCGGAGCTGCTCTGTCCCCTCACCTTGGTCATTCGACTGGAGTCCTCCAGCTGGGTGATGATGGTCTGCACGCGGTCATTCCCCGCCACCAGCATGGAGATACAGTTACTCAGTTCAGTCTAGATGGGAGGAGGGGCGGGGGTCAGGAGAGGAGAGACAGAAATAGTCTCAGGGCCTGCCCTCTTGGGATTTGGCAGCACAATGGCACCCTCACTCCCCTCTCTGCTAGCGAGAGCCTGCAGTAGCCGTCTGGCCCCTCTTCCCGAGGTCCAGAGCAGAGACTATCAGATGCTGCTTTCTTTATTTTACAGATGAAGCACAGAGAGGGGAAGTGAGCTGCTTAAAATACACAGCAAGGTACTGGGAGAGGAGGGGCTTTTTTCTAGGAAGAGGGGGGATGAAGGAAAGAAATACAGTTGGGAGTTCTAAAATAGTGAAATCATATGTGAGGGCTATCTGGCTGTGACATCTGTCACCCCACTGATCGCCAGGGTTGATTCGGCTGATCTGGCTGGCTAGACTGGTGTTCCCTCCTCCTGTCCGAGAGGAGAGGACCGGGGCCCAGAGCACACTGGGATGTAGAACTCATGGCCTGAGACGTTCCCTGGTGGCCTGGCCCTGGGGGCTGGTCTCTCCCCTGAGGCCACACCCAGGTGCTCTCAAGTGGCTCTAAGTATAACCCATGAGCTCAGCCGCCTCCCCCAGGAAGGCAAGAACTGCTGTGCCTGCAGCCTGGGCAGTCCCTTCAGAGGGATCATTATTGAAAGGCCGGCTCAGCAGGTCTGTAGGGATCAAATCCACAGCCTGAATCATGGGGTCCTGCCCACCAGCCCAGGCTGGGGGTGGAAGCGGCTCGGCCCAGTACCTTCTGTCCCTGGAAGACACTCTGCAGGGGGGCCACCTCACAGGCCTGGTGGGCTCCAAACACCTTGCACATGGAGCATGTGGGCATCTCACACGTGAGGCAGTAGATGTTGATTTTCTCGTCTTCGTGCTCCTTGCACATGGGGTGGCTGCCCTTCTGCAGGGGCCTACTGAAGTGGAGGAGTCACAAGTCAAAAGGCAGGGTCCCGACTCTCTGCCTCCTCCTTCAGCGCCAATCACAGCTCCTCCTCACATCTATCACCCAAGTTCTCAGTGGTTAGATGTCCTTCATCCTTTTTGTTAAATCCTCTGGGGACCCAGGACCAGGGAAGCCAATGACACCAAGGCTGTCTCCGTAGACCAGTTGGCCTGGTCATGGGAAGGGTGGTAGAATCTTAGAGTCATCCGATCTAGAGACAGTTCCAAGAGGAGGAAACTGGGCCCCAGAAAGGTGAATTGACTTGCCCAAGGTCACTCAGCAAGTCAGGGTAGGGGAGGCTAAAGTTCATTTGCTCTGATTATAGTCACCATAGCTCTCGGTTTCTGCAGGCTGGGCGCTAAGTGAAATAATTTATTCCCATGGCCTCATTGAATTCTATATTTAACCCGCCAGACGGTAACCTCCATTAAAGCAGGGGAACTTGCCTATTCTCTTCACTCCTGAATCTGCAGTGTACAGTGCCTGCGCAGAGGAGGGGGTACATACGCAAGCACAAGAGGGCGTCCCGAGGCTCAGAGAAGAGAGCAGTGTGTGTGTCCCAAGTCACACAGCCGTTACATGGGTAGCTCAGGGCAGTCCAACAGCCCAGAACAAGCCTGATTTCCAGTCCAGAGATTGTTTTATATATATATATGTGTGTGTGTGTGTGTGTGTGTGTGTGTGTGTGTGTGTTTCCAGGGTCTAGTCTAGGGGTGTCGAACTCAATCAGAGAAGGGGCCAAAATCTAAAATCCAGCCTAAATCGCGGGCCGAATGGTTTACTGAACAGTCATAAACTGTCATTGTGATGGAAACGCAGCGGAGTGCAGTGATGACAGCGCGGTGCGGGCCACATTGCAAGGCCTGGCGGGACAGATTTGGCCCGCGGGCCTTGTGTTTGACACATGTGGTCTAGGTCTTACCTCCCCAGCTACACCCCGCACTCATTTAGAGTCAACGCTGTGTCTGTGCCACCTCTGACTTCCCAGCCCCTAACAGAGCAGGCACCTCCCCCGCCCGGGCTTCCACATCTGGGTTTGAATCCATATTGTCCTGAATGTATTCATTCTGTGACCTTGGACAAGTGCTTTCACTCCCCTGAGCTTTGGTTTCCTCCCAGAGCTACTGGGATCATGGCAGTTGTCTGTAATGAATGTGTGGTGCCTGGCACAGGGCAGACCCTCCCCCCCAAAGGGCAGCTAGCATTGTCATCCAACTATTCAGGAAGGCCTCAAAGAGTTCCAACAGAACATGCTCTTCAGAGGTCAACACTGGATGGGCTAATATTTTGGTGCAATGTATATTTTGTTACGATTATAATGATCAAAAATATATTTGCATTTTTGTAGTGTTGAGCCCTAGCAAAGTGAGAGACAACAGCAGTTAGAAGTATTCATCATGGGACACTCACTCTCAGCTTCACCACTTGCGAGCTGAGTAGCCTTGAACAAATCTCTGAACCTCTCTGAGCCCCCTCATTGCAAAATGAGGGTAAGAATGTCTTACAAGATTATTGTAAGAATTAAATAGTGATAATGCATGGGACATACTTAGTACAGAGCCTATACACAGTAGGTGCTCAATAAATATTTGATATTTGTAACATTTCCCATCAAAATCCTATACAGTCACAAAACACATCTTACTGCTCCCTCTGCAAGCAAGGGAAATGAAGGGCCAAAGACTTACCCAGGATCCTACAATGTATTAGTAACAGTCAGACTAGCAAACACGGTACCCAGGCCTGGAATTTTCTCACTAGGACTGCTCTGTCACCTTTCCATGGGCAGGACACTGCCTGTAGGACCATAGGGCTGTGAGGTCAGCAGCCGGGAAGCCTTGTCAGGATGCCCTGATTTGTAAAGATCCCCCTTGCAACTGTGTCTCTGTCCAATTCGAGGCCCAACACCGCACAACCTCCACCACTCACTAATTCTGCCTGAGAAAGAACTGCTATTCTAAAACTAGGGAGACAGAACTCCATCACTGGTCCCACTCCCAGCTCTTACACTTCCCAGCTGGGCAACCTTGGACAACTGACTTCACCTTTTTGAACCTCAGCTTCTTCATCTGTGAAATAGCCATGCCTGATCCACAGGGGTGCTGTGAAGCAGCAGGAAAAAGCATTCCCAGTGCCACCTGGTGCTGTGCCTCCCAGCACATGGGACCTTAGCTGTTGCTATCATTATAGAGCAATGATTTCAACCTTTTTCATATGTGTGTGTGTGTTTTAGAGAGAGAGAAAGGGGGAGAGATAGAGAGATTGAAACTGCCTGCTCACCCCCCATAGGTGATTGGACCTCAGCTGGGAATCAAACGTCAAATATCTTGGTTCATGGGTAGATGCTCAACCCCTGAGCCACACTGGCTGGGTGATTTCAACCTTTTTCATCTCATGGCATATATAAATTAGTTACTAAAATTCTGTGGCACATCAAAATAATTTTTTGATAATCTGACCAAAAAAAAAAAAAAAGGTATAATTTTGATTCATTAACACCAATGGCTAGTGTTGTGTTGGTTATTATCTTTTATTTGACAATCTAAGGGGAAAGGAGGTCAGGTATTGCATGTCTTAAAAATTCTTGTGACACATCAGTGTGCCATGGCACACCAGCTGAAAGTGGCTGCTACGGGGAAACTGACTATGTCCTCACTGGGCACTTTCTTTGCTTATCAGGGCCACTTAGCTGTCCCTAGTGCCTCTCTGTCCCTCTCACAGCTTGTCTTGCCTCTGGTTCCTACCGTATCTTTCAGGAGGACAGCCTGGGCCCCCTCCCAATCGCTGAGAGATAGGAGAACCAGGGTTGGGGGAGAGAGTAAGCCTCTGTTCCTGCCTGAGGGTGGGGGACACACTCTCTGGACTGGCTTGTTGGCTCGTCCACCCAGGGGACTGGATCTGGAGCAGATGAGGGGGAAGGAGCCTGGGAGAGCTGGGCAGAGCAGCGAGGGCAGGAGGCCGGCCTCCCAGCAGCGGGCGAACTGACCTTGAGCACTCCAGCTTGTAGATGTCAATGATGTTCTCCACCAGCAGATTCCGCTGGAGGCCGTACACCCCGTGGCGGTCCATGATCACCTCGTGGCGGCAGGACGGGCAGCGGAAACGGCCTCCGGTCATGGACATGGAGCCACCCCGGCTGGACCAGTAGGGGTTTGCGGCCTGTGGGTGGCAAGGGCAGAGGTGAGGCCTGGGCTCCCTCCTCAGCCCTTGCCCCTTCTAATCTCCAGGTTGTCCTCCCCACAGCTTACCCCAACCATTCTCTGGTCAAATCATGACCGGCAGCCCCTGTCCTGAGATGAGAGCCAGCTCACTTACACAGGGAGCACCTGGTAAGCACGAGGCCATCGGCAGGTTTGAGAGGCAGCAGGCTTAGGTTCAAGTCGCGGTTATTGTCTGAGTGACTTTGGGCAAGCAAGCAACCTTATCCCCTCTCCCCCCAGCCTCAGTTTGTCCATTCATTGAATGGGCATTTTAATTAGAGCTAGTGATGAGGGCCAATACTTTAGAGAGAAGATAGTGAGAGAACGTTTATCAAGTGCTTCTGGGAAACCTTGAGTCCTGCCTCCCAGCTAGGACATCCATTCTCCTTCCTTTCTTAGGAGAGGAAGCCCCTCCCGCCCTGTATTTGAGGGAACAGCCTGGAAAGGGAAAATGCCTCCACTGCTCAGAGCCTCCCACCCTCCCTCCTCCGAGAGCTCTGGGCCCCCTTCCACCAGGGAGCTGGCTCCAGCCCCGGGGTCTGGTTTCTTTCTCCTCTCCCCTGCCTCCCCCACTTATCACTCGTGGCATTTGACTCCTGATTGAAGAGTCAACTGCGGTGCTCGGAACAGAGGTGGCGGGTGGCAGAGCTGCAGGCAGGGTGGGGAGGGGAAACGTGCGTCATGGAAATGAAATCAGGCAGCCAGAGCCACCGCCCCAGCCCCCTCAGCCCGGTCCTGAGGCCTTTGCCGGGGAGAGAACCTGCCCGGCAGTGGTTTAGGATGGATCCTGGGCTAAGAGAAAAGAGCTCTCATCACAGGAAAGCTGAGGACCCCCCTGAGCCCCCAGAAGGAGGCCATGCCCAGCACTCACCTGGAAGATGTCATTGGCACACTTCCGGCAGAGGTTGTGCTGGCATGGCAAGATGACCACCGGCTTGGTAAACATCTCAAGGCAGATGGGACAGATCAGCTGCTTCTCCAGGTTCTCCAGGGGGTTCCCATCCTGGATCAGGCTTGATTTATAATCCATACTGTCCAGCGCTGTGGGGCCCACCTGGCTGCCTCCTCTACCTGCCTATCTCTGAGCAGACCTGGGGTCTTGCCTTTGTCACACAACACCCGGCCGGAGCCTCTTGACCTTCTTCTCCTGGCGCCCAAATTCTGTCTTGGTCTGAGGCCCCTCTGATATTTATAGCTGGACCCTGGTCACATGAGCCCAGGAGGGGACCAGCTGAGCATTCCGGTGCCAGCACGCCTGGCTGGCGGGGCTTGAGTTTCCTCCAGGCCTGCAAGAGCGGCCTCTCACATCACATGTGGGGATGAGCAATCACTGTTCCCCTGAGCCGGGGGTCGTAAACAAGAACAGCCTGTTCGTGGGCAGACTTGGGGGAGGATTGGGACCCAGAGTTTCTTCCAGAAATTAGTCTCCTCCCACATCAGGCTGGTGAGCCAGAGATGGGACCCCGAGAATGGGCCACTGGGATTGTCAGGGTTAATAGCCAGTGCCCCCTCACCGGCCATCATCAGGTCCATCCCTCCTCTGGAGTCCTTGGCAGCTCCCTGGATAGGAGCAGGGCAGCCCCTCTCTCTGAGCCCATCCCTCTGTGTCAGATCTGCGGTGTGGGGAGGGGCATGGAACTTTCATGCCCTCTCCAGGGGCACCATTCTCCTGAAAGGGGGGCAGAAACAGAATGCTGGGGAATCACTTAGTATTGTAAGAACTATTAACCATGCTCTGTTAACCGTGATTGTTTTATTCTGATTAGAGAAGCATATTCTTACTTGGCTAGAAGCTGCACTCAGGACCTGGGAGCTTCTTGGGAAATGCAGCTCACCCTCCCCACCTGGAGCTGCCTATTATCATGGAAATATTAACAACCAGAATCACTAAGATCCCCAGACCTTCTTGCATACCTGCAGGCCTTTGCAAGACTCCAGGCTGCTTACCTGTTAACTGACCATTTGGTCTACCCTTTGGCTATTTCCCCATGTAACCCCAGTGCTTGCATATCGCTAAGCCCATACACCCATTTGCATAGACCAGATGTCTGGGAGCCATCTTTGAGCTGCCCCCTCTCCCATTGCACACTCAGTCAATCTCAGCATCAAGCATGGGTCCATCTTTACATGTCACTTGTGTATCATCCCATCTGTGAGTCTGACTCTCCCTTGGACTCTGAAGACTTTAACGGCAAAAATTGTGTCTAGCCGGCACCGGTTTGGCTCAGTGGATAGAGCGTCGGCCTGCGGACTGAAAGATCCCAGGTTCGATTCCGGTCAAAGGCATGTACCTTGGTTGCGGGACATCTCCAGTAGGGGGTGTGCAAGAGGCAGCTGGTCGATAACAATTTCTTATCGATGTTTCTAACTCTATCCCTTTCTCTTCCTCTCTGTGAAAAATCAATAAAATATATTTTTTTAAAAACAAAACTGCATCTATTCATCCCTTTACCTCCAGTGCCTGGAACATAATAGACACTTAACAAATGTTTCCTAAATGGGTGAACAAGTGAATGTGTGAATTAAACAAGGGAACAGCAGGGTCATTGTCAGACTTGGGGGAGATCAAAGTACTTGACCAAGTGTGGGTGTGTGTGTATGTGTGTGTGTGTGTGTGTGTCTATATGTGTTGTCTGCGATGGTGCAGCCAGTGGGGAGAAAGTACTGGAAGATTGGGGAGAGGGTGATGGAGTAAATTCTGAAGCTTTTGGAAGAAGAAGGACAATCTGATACTTGAGATGGGAGGATAAGAGAGAGGAAAAGATGGACATGAGAATCAGAGGTGCTGGAAAGGTGAGAGAAAGGGGCTCATGTTGACCACTTCAGTCCAGAGAGTTGAGGTCAACTTCAGAGGCAGAGGCAGGGAGAAGGGTAGCATGAGTGGGTGGTGGAAAAAGTTTGGACCAGACAGTGTGAAACACAGGAGGAAGTGCCCTGGGGGCGGGGGGAGGGCTGTCTGGAAGCAGAAGAGCCTCGCTGATGTTTCCGAGCACAGGGTTGCCAGTTGTGAGGAGTCATTCACATGATTCTGTTGACTTTCTCCAGCCACACTTGGCAGCCCAGGTGCAAAAGCCAAGCAAATGGACAGTGGGATCAACTCCAGCCTGGGAGCTGGCAAGGCTGGCACTGCTGAAAGTCAAGGGGTGGGAAAGGGAAATTCCCACATGGGTCATGCTGGGCATCAAAACATGTCCTGTCATTTAATCCTCACAACAGTCCTGCAAGGGACGTATTATGATCTTCGTTTTTCCCAGGAGGAAATGAGATTCAGAGAATTAAGGGCTTGGCCAAAGTGACAATTGGCAGAGCTGAGCTGGGGTTCACATCCAAGGCAGCCTGCCTCCTAAACCTGTACTCCTCACACCGAAGCAGTTATTGCTGCTTATTGCATTCCAGGCACTGTGCAAAGCTCTTTCCATTCATCCTCTTGTTATCCTCAAAATAGCTCAGTGAGACAGGAATAGTCATGTTTTTCCCTGTTTTATAGCCGAGCTACAGCAGCTCAGAGAAGTTAAGTCACTTGGCCAAAGTCCGCCAGCCAGTGAGTGACAGAGCCAGCACCGGAAGTAGGAACTTATAAATCAGTATCATTACCAGTTATTAGAACATTCTATCAAATTATAGACTGACAGAATCCCAAATCATTTCCAGAGGTTGTTGACTATCTCGCATATCTTTTACAGTTAGTTGCCAATTCTGATCCAAATAAGATCTGAGACAGGGCGTATTATTGATTTTGTCTCATCAGTCTTTTTTAATCTATAACAATCGCCTTCCCTCCCATCCTTCTACACCACTGGTTTGTCAGAGAATGATTCCGGGCATTGTGATTCCCACTTTGACATAGTGGGAACTGAAGTTCAGAAAGGCGCAGTGACTTGTGGAACATCGCACAGCTAAGAGACAGACTTCTTATTTGGTACTGTCCCAAAAAGTCTGTGTTACTAATGGGAGGAGCTTTACTATCTGAGACAGGTCTCAGCTGATTGAGAGGGCAGGGAAAGCAGCAGGGAAAATGGTCTGGCTTGACAAGGAAAAGAGAGAGATGGAAGGTGACAGCAATTACAGTACAGCATTATTTTTTGATTTATTGCTTACAAGTGGCCAGGCATCCTGGCACTATTTCAGTCAGTTGTCACAACAAACACCAGTAAGACATACTTATCTCCACTTTAGAGCTAAGGACATTGAGGTACAGATTGGAGTTGCCCCAAGTCTCATGGCTAGCGTAGGTAGAGCTGGAATAAGCCAATTTAACCCCACTGTCTATCCCCAAAGTCTATGTTCCTTTTGATTGTCACTAGAGAGGGGACTTTTTAGAAACCTGAGATCTTGAGGCCTCTTGGTTGGGGGAAAGAACCATGGCCTGGGGCCTGGACACCTGGGCTCCATCTTTAGCTCTACCAGAAACCAGCAATGTGATGCCCAGAAAGCCACACCCACCTTCAGTTTCTTCATCTGCCAAATGGAGCAACTGAGAGATGATCCCTGAGTGTCCTTCCCCATCCCCAGTAGCAGGATTCTAGGAGGAGCTCTTCCCCGTGATGACAACAGGCCTGTGGGATGTACCACCCTCCGTCTCCCCTTTCATTTCCGCATACTTGGGCTTGCTTGCATGTTTCCTTGCTACATCACGGTGTTCCTTTCCACGTATGTGCTGTTCTCCCTCCAGCCCCCATGATCCCCCTTGGAGGGTGGGGCCCACCGTGCCTCTTCCTCTGGATTTCCCCTCAAGCCTCTGTGGTGCCTCAGAAAGGTGGGGGGGAGATCTTATTTCCCTACAATTTGAGATCAAAGTCATCCTCATAAAAGAATCACCCTTAATCAAGGGATCAACCAATAGGTCATTTGATCCAGAGGCTAAAGCCACAGTTGGCAGAGGTAGGTCCATGGGGTCTGGGACACGATGTAGTGCCCCAGATGCCAGGCCAAAGTCCCCTGGGCCTGGCCCACGTGCCATGGAAGGGGAACATAGAGTCCTGGGACTCAGCACTCAGGACTGGAAGCCCCTCAGGCCTCCTTCCTCTGTCCCCTAGTCTAGACTCTTGCTGTGGACAGCTACAGGGCTCTGGGGAATGAGTGGCCTTAGAGAAAGGACTGTCCAGGGAACATGGGGTGTCAACAGGGCCTGGAGGGGGCTCTACAAGGATGATCCTGAAATAAAGTATTGAAAGTGCTTTATAGACCAAGATATAATAAACCATTACTATAAGGCCCTGAGAGTTCAAATCAACAACAAAGAAGCTGCCCAGGCACTAATGAATCCAAGTTCAAGTTTAGGCTCCTTTAAGTATCAACTCTGTTACCTTGGGAAGGCTACCTAACTGTGTCTCAGTTTCCTCATCTATAAATGAGAGTTGGCTAGAATAATGATATCTCTGGACCTTTCTAGCCCCGAGAGTCTTGGGTTTTGAGTGACTGCCCCCAACACTCTATCCCTTGCAGAAAATTGATGGTAAAGGTGGGAGTCCACTTGCTCAGGCACATGGCACATATCTGGCACATGACAGACACTCAGCAAACATTGTTGTTAATATTTTCAGTCAACTTAGCTCTCGTGGCTCAGTAGTTGAGTGTCGACCTATGAACCAGGAGGTTGAGGTTCAATTTCTGGTCAGGACACAGGCCTGGGTTTCTGGATCAATCCTCATGTAGGAGGCAGCCAATCCATGATTATATCCCATCATTGATGCTTCTATCTGTCTCTCCCTCTCCCTTCCTCTTTGAAATAAATAAAATATATTTAAAAAATATTTTCACATTCAGGGGAATAATACGGGCTGGCATTTACTAAAGTCACTGTGGATAACTCCATGACCTGTGTATTAGCTACTGCTGCATAATAGATTTCCTATAACTTAGCAGTTTAAAACAATAATAAATATGTATTATCTCACCCCATTTCTGTGGGTGGTTCAGTTCAGTATCTCCAAGGAGGCTGAAGATGTTGCCTGGGGCTGCAGTCAGTTCATCTCAAGGCTTCACCTCCAAGGTGACTTACTCACATGGTGAGCAGCTGGTGAGAGGCATGAGTTCAACACACATTCCTCTCCATAGAGCTGCCTGAGCATCCTCATAGCATGGTGGCTGGAGAGTGACCCAGAAAAGCAAGACAGCAGTGGCAATGTCTTTCATGACCTAGCCTCAGACATCACACACCATCACTCCCACTGTATTCTATTGGATGCATAGGACAACCCTGATGAAGTGTGGAGGGGAGCACACAGGAGCATGAATTACAGGAGGCAAGAATTATTGAGGTCCATCTTGGAGGCCAGCTATCACAGTCTGCTCTAAGTATCTTATAGCTATTGATTTATTTGTTAATTATGAGGTCAATATTTCTTTCTTTCTTAAATATGTGTTTTATTGATTTTTAGAGAGATGGGAAGGGAGCGAGATAGAGGGATAGAAATATCAATGAGAGAACATATTCAAACAGTTGCCACCTGCACGCCCCCCACTGGGGATCAAGCCCACAACCAGGGCATGTGCCTTGACTGAGAATCATGCTCAACCATTGGTTCCTGGGTCCATGCTCAACCATTGAGCTACACTGGCTGGGAGCTATTGATATTTCTATCATCCTTATTTTACAGATTGAGTCACAAAGATATTAGGTAAATTGGTTAAGTTTACATTTCTAGGAAATGGGCATTTTATGAACTGAATTGTGTCTCCCCAAAATGTTGCTCTAA